TGGGTCAGGATTTGGAACATCCACAGACTGCTGGTTCTGGCTCCTGAACACAATAAGGCCTTGCCTACATACGGCGGCAACTTTTTTATGATACATTATTAAGGCTAGCAGTTTTTACGGTGATGCAGCTCTGCACTGCTACCAGAGTATATGGCTTTGTCTTGAGTCTCATTTGCACACGGTCTCGAGCAGTCTTGTACACATTACTAAAAAAAAGTAATTGATCACAATTACAACTACCCTTCCTTAAAGGACACATGCAAAGGAAAAAAACATTTTTTTTTAGACAGCTTAGACGGAAAAAGGATGTCATAAAACGATTTTACAACGAAGAAAAAACTTTTTAGAGCTATATTTACGGCGTTATATGAATTTGTAGTTGGCGCTCGCGGGAGCCGCCTCTGGTCACGTGGTAGGCCCGCGCGTTGCCGCGCTGTGTCGCAGCCGCACGCTGAGCGTTGTGCGAACGCCGCTTCAACGCGTTTCTCCACGCCGCCGTTGCCGCCGCCGCACAAGTTCGTCTGCTTCGGGGCGCCGCCACCGTCGTCTGACCGGCGCACAGGTCTATCACGTCTGCTTGCGCTTTTTCAGGAGTTTCCTTGGGGCTCTAAAAGTTACATATTCATCTTAGTTTTTTGTTACACTTCAAACAAAGATGAATAAGTTACTTTTAGAGGCCATAGGAAGCTTCCGAAAGAGCGCAAGCACCATGTGACAAATATGGGCCTGTACCGTGATAAATAAGGGCCATTTTTCCACGGCGCCCGCCGGCGCCAACTACAAATTTGTATAGCGCCGTAAATGTAGCTCTAAAATTTCTTTTTCTTGGTTGTAAAATTGTTTTATGATATCCTTTTTCCATCTAAGCTGTTAAAAAAAAAAATGTTTTTTTCCTTTGCATGTGTCCTTTAAGGAGGGTTCAGTTAGATTACTTGATTACTTAAAATAAAAATTAATTGACAGTTACTTGTAGAAATAACTGTTACTTTTCTGATTACTTCAGATGCTCAAAACGGCAGATTTTTCTGTCGGTTTGAAAATGGGCCTTTTATACTGCCCAATACAGGATTAGAATCACCGACTTACAAACTACCCATCTTCTCAATCCACCCATTTTGGTAGACCATTCTTATGTCTGATGCTTGGTTCGAGGATTCCCTGGTGGGAAACTTGTAGAAACATAGAGCACCACGAGGAAGAGAAGGAAATTAATGCGGAGCGCAAGTTTGTCTGCTTCTTTTGCAGGGGTTGTGGTGACATCAGAACGCCGAGCTCCGACTGGTTCTGATTGAAGGATAGTGGGTAGACCTCAAAGCAGCTTCCTTCAAGGTCTACCCACTATTCTTCAATCAGAGCCAATCATAGCTTGGCGTCTTTCTGATGTCACCGCAACTCCTGCGTAAGAAGTAGACGGCTTACTCCCCGCATACTAATGGTTACAATAACTAATCAGATTACTTTCGTGATTACTTCCTAATAAAAGAAACCAAATTACTCAAGAAATTAGTCCAAAAAGTATTTGATTACTAGTAATTTGATTATTTGTGAGTACTATATAAGTCTGCTGTGGTGCGAACATGACGCTAAAGAAAGCCACACGCAAGTAGCTTTGACAGCGTTGGAGCCAGTGATGCCAATTTAGCAGATTTTCCGCCAAATCTCGCGGATTAGACTTTTTTCTGACGGAGAAAAAATTGGTCTGGCGGCTGGCGGACTTTTGACGGGCCACTTTTATGTGCAATGGATCTATGGCGGATGCCTCGCACGGTGCACCAACTCAAAATTATCCTTTGAAACACAATTCCCGTGTCCTCTAAAACCACTAAAATTGAGACTGGCGCAATGAGCGATCGGGAGCTTTCCACCCCTGCTCAACAGACAAACAAATTCGTGAGGCTTCTGATCGGTGATCGCTTTCTACGCAAGACAAAGTGGACAAGCTGCAAGGTGAACTCGGCGTGCCCACCCCTGAAGAAATCAAAAAAATTCAAAACCGGCGAAGCAGAATGACTTTCATTAACTGGCAGCAAATATTGTCAATGCAGACGTCCTGGTGTCAAGTTTACGCTTATATATATAAGGACGCCTGTGGCAAAAGCCTGTTTTTGCCGAGTTGGCCGAATTCGCCACGTCACTGCTGGTGCTGCCCTACTCAAATGCCGAAGTAGCGAGGACGTTTAGTCAGCTTAAAGGGATGCTGAACCAAAATTTGGAGCTCCCAAAACAAGGTTGAAGCGATAGACAGGATGCTACAGCGATATATTTCTAATGGTTGGCCATATGTTTGCAAAAGAACTGCGCGACTGAACACGACCGACGAGGCCAACGAGACATGTCACATCACGATTCTCATTCTCTTCATCCCCTCGAGCAAGTGAACTGAAGTGAGGAACAGAGAAGAAAGGCTGCTTCCCTACATTCTCAACTGTTCCAGAAGGATTGTGATGTCACGGTCCTCGCAGCCTTCTCTTCCCCAAAAATATGGCCATCCATCTGAGGTATGGACATATGAGGGAGGTTTTCGAGTTTGTAGCATCCCGTTGAACGCTTCTGCGGCCTTATTTTGAGAAATCCACATTTCAGTTCATCATCCCTTTATTTATTTCTCGTTCCCTCAGGGCCCAAAGGCATTACAAAGGGGGAGAACAACAATACAGTAATACAATTAAGAAATTAACACATTAGGATAAAGAAGAAAATGCGGTTTAGACACACTCGTCAAGAACATGGTTAGTTAACACAGATTTGAAATGCTCAAGTCTGTGATGGAAGTAATTGAACCGGGAAGGTGATTCCATTCTTGGGATGTATGAGGAAGAAAGGATGAATGAAATGCAGTTGTGTTAGCGCTTCGAATGCCTACCTTGTGTTGATGATCATGACGGGAGGAAACGTAAAGTAAGCGTAAATTTAATTTGCCTAGTAGTATAGAATTATAAAAATTAATTTTTTGAAATAAGAGGAGGCGTGAAATTTTTTGACAAGGAAAATAGGTGGGGGCAATAAGGTTGATTTCCTATTAGTGACATTAGCTCTGTAGTGGTAATTAGTGAGTATGAAATGAGCAGATCTTTTTTGGATGGTTTCCAATGCATCAATGAGGAAGGTGTGACCGGGATCCCAGATCGATGCTGCATATTCTGGTTTGGGTTGAGTTAGGGTTTTATACAAAAATAACTTCAAAGAAACAGGTGCTAGGAAAAAATTATGCGTAATGTAACCTAATATGCTATTAGCATTGGATGGGATGTACTGAATACGAGTTTTCCAGGAAAGGTTGCAAGTTTAGTGCACACCTAAATATTTGTAGGATGTGACAGCTTCAAAGTTAGCTCGACTAAGAAGGTAATTAGGATTTTCATAGGACTGACCGGACATACGCATAGATTTACATTTGTTAGAATCAAGGCTCATAGACCAAAGTCACACCACAGGACAATATTGTAAATATCAGTCTGGAACAAACGGCTGACACTGTGGCCAATTATTTCCCGTTAAATCACACAGTCATCAGCAAATAAACGGATAGATGAGGAGATGTTAAGTGGAACATCATTAACATAAATTAAGAACAATAATGGTCCTAAGACAGATTCGGCCAAATTTTGTCTTTCAGAAAACAATTAAATTATATTGTCATTGCTTTTAGGAATATGATCCGCACAATATCCAAATTTTTTAGTCCTCCGCCGTGCAAGGAATTCAATTTTAAACACAGCCCAACTACTCAGATTGCACCCACAAAACACCCGGTGTTTTCGTTGGCAACAGCGGAAGCTCTGACATAACATCAGGCAAAAAGTGCCACATCAGCTTCTCACTGCTGTCTCGGTAAAATCATTTTGTTCTAAGAAAGACAAGATTTACGGGATTGATGGAAGCTCAATTCTTTGGTGATGATCTTTGTACGCACCATCAACCATCCTGATTAAAACTGGGAGTAGGACAATGCCCGAGACACTAACGTTACCACGCCCGATGTGACGTCCCGACACGACCAGCCATGCGTACTTGCAAAATTTAGCGTGCAGTTTCGTATTGATATTAAGAATTGATTTAAGAAATATTGGGGCGTCTTTTAATAAAATAAATATTGCATATGACTATATTTAGCCCTCTCTACGTGACCAGCGCTAAAACTTAGTAACAAGCACCAGTGGTCCTGAGAAGATAATGTCAGAAGACCCTCTATAGAAGACTTGTTTATATGTTATTTCAGCCCTCTTAGTTTTGGGTATCTTTTAAGAATGATGAAGGTCTATATTGTACGAACTTTCGCCGTTTCTTTTACATGAAATAGGTCTTAGCAGGAAATTTAGCTGATGTTTTAAATTTTAGCGGAATCTGGTAGATTTCTTGTTGCTTTTTAGCTGATTTCTGAGGCCCGACGATGGCAACACTGGTTGGAGCACTGCGGAAACAATGTTAGCCTTGACAGCATAACTCAAGATGTTGTCAGTATGTGTAGGCTGAATTCTGTATTTAGTTTAGACAAAGATTATTCACAAAAGAATTTGCATTTCGTGAATAAACTTTATACTTTACCAACAGCAAAAAATAGGAAAATGTGGCCCCTGAATAAAGCTATGCACTACAAGTGGAAGAGCAGCTAAAATTACCCATACCTTTGACAGCGTTGCACAAAACATAACTTGTTGATGAAGGTGAGCATTGTATTTATCGTAGTAATGAAAACTGTATAGTAGTTAATTTTTCTTTCTGTCTGTTAAGCCTCACCATGCTTCTGCATGTTTTGCACGGTACCCTAGAGCAAAGTCTGTCAATCGGCACCTTCTGTCGTCGGCATTTTTTACTCCCGGTCACATGGCTCCATTCACATGGCAATGCACAGACCTCTGCCTCCAGCAATGAAGCCAATAGGCAAACATTCTCCATGGTTTACATGCGGCTAATGTGCCCATCTGTTTTAAAGGCGATGTAAAGTTACGCTTTTATACTTGATGAGGTTGCGAGGCCTCACCGAGGATGTGCATACACACCGAGGCTGTTGTCACCGCGGCTACTAGCAGCAAAGTGCAGGGCCATCCTTCCACCGCGCTCCACGGAGTGAACGCTGGCACCGCTTTCGAGCAGCAGCTTCAGCATGGGCAGGTTTTGACGCAGCACCGCGGTGTGGACCACCGAAACCCCGTTCAGTCCCACCTGGTTCAAACTGCAGCCATACTTTATTAGCAGCCGGGCTGCAGAATGAATGGAAAAGAGAAAAGGCATGAAAATGATGTATTAGAAAACAATGAAAGCATATGCCTTAAAGGGCAACTCCGCTTCATTTTTGTTTTTGAAAAAACAATGCAGTCCTCTTCCGTATCACCTCAGAATACCACACGTCGAATATTACGACCTAATTCTGTCTAAATGTTTCTTATACGGTCCGGCCAACTTTGCAACTCGCCAAGTAGCTGAAATTGGCCGATTCGAGCGGGCGAATTGAGGCGCAACCGATAGCGCAGTCGAAGCTACGGCGTGGGTGAAGCCAACATTAAGCTAAACATCATCCCCATTGCCCCCTTTTGCTTGTTTTTACTTCTCCGGGCAAGCGTAATGGGTGACGTCAGCAACGTTTTTTCTCGGCGCTTAGCGGTGTCTCCGTGATTGGCGTAACGCGCCTGCGCAGCGCACTTCTTGGGAGCCGTCCGGCCGCCCTGCCGTGGTCCCACCGTTACCGCCGTCTTCCGCGTCACAACCACCATCGTCGTCTCACCATTTGTGATTACTGTCTGTAGGAATTTCGTCCACACTAAGGAAACTACACGCACAGACTTACGCCGCAGTTGTGCAGACGTTGTCGAATGTCATAGACACCAAAACGGGGCGAAGAGTGCCGTGCAGACGACACTCGCGCCTGCCACACGCCCGCCCCAATCCCACCGCCCGTCGTTGGGTTGAGGATCACGTGGCATCTCGTACCACGTGATGGCCATGTACTTGGCGGCCCGAGGCCGATGTTGCCGGACGGAGCCGAAGTTTCGGTTTCGATTTCCGCTCATGTTTAAAATTTGATTTAAAAATATATATCCCATTTTTCGCGAAGCAAACAACATAGTGTCTTTTACTAGGAATTTTTAAAGCAAAATCACTCATTATCCCGGAATTGAGCGAAGTTGCTTTTTAAAGGGGCGGTGCAACAACGCTTAAAGGGGGGCAGTGCCTCCCGTACAGAAGCATGGCAAACCGAGACTGCGGCGGACTACCGCTGGCCGTCCATAGAAGAGTCATCTGGTGGCACCGCTTACAACCAAGGCAAGGCGAGTACTTTTGGCAGTTGCAATTGGGGCAGTGTCAACACCTATATGTATCTACAGCGTGGCCTAGAATACACTCATTGGCCTTCTTACAGAAATAAAAATGCAGCGTTTTTATGATTGCACAGACGGTAAATGATGTTCACAATTAAAATAACTTTTTGTGCCTTGTTGCATTTTTGTATCGACATTATTTCTTTTTATTCCTGAAATTGAAGGCATAAAAATACAGCAATATTGAACTCTAATAAATGCTGGATTTACACTAAAAACTAATTTCTAAAAACATCCATCTGAATTTCACCAAAAACAAACTAAACAAACATGCTATCCTACCCAAAAGCAAGCAGTCTTTCACTTGTTCTGCTGACTCCAAATAAACAAATTAAATTTGCTTATAAATCTGTTAATTGTGAGGTCCAGCTTACAAGTGCACATGTGCTATTCTGTGTTATTGTGCCTACCACCACATGGCATTTGCACAATATCAAAATTGTCAAGCCTGTGCTCATAGAAAGTTTAATTGACATCGGAACAAAATCACAGAATGTAGTCATTTCACTGAACTTTGCTTGCAACCTAGTGCTGTGTGTCTCAACATATTCAATAATTGAATTATTATTCTTTGAGAGTGCCAACAAATAAATGCAGTACATTTATAACTGGAAGGAGACCAAGTTTGCCAACATTAGCAGTTAGAAATAAAATAAATGATTGCCTGTGTGATGAACCTCATTTTTTTCTAAAATATAATCAGCAGTGCTACAAGCCTCTGTTGTATTTGTCCTAATTTTAAGTTTCTGTCACATCAAATAGCTCGTAGCATTTCTCTCTAGGAAAACAGTCCTCTCTCTCTCTGTTACTCTAAATCTAAATAAATCTATCCTCCAGGTTTAAAAAAAAAAAAAGTCTATTTACTTATAGACCATTCGACTAAGTGCTCTCAGGGTGGTGCCATATTGTTACATTTGGGTATTCTGAGTATGCGGGGTAAAAGAGGGACAAGGCACGCGACCGCACACCATACCAGAAGACAAACCAGCCCCTCTCAACATTTGGGCAGTACCCGTGTACTGTGTGCTGGCTGTACCAATTATCTAACGCTCGCTCACTGCTATCGCTTTGAAGTGGTTCGCGTTTTCAGGACATTTATGGATAGTCCAAAAATCAACATGCTGTGCTCATTTTTTTTTTTTTAGTAGGGCATTAGTTAGCATATTTTTCTTTTGTTGCTTTAATAGCAATGGTGTCCATCGGCAGTACTGCCCTCAACCACTGCGTCTATTGCATCAGCAAAAATAGAATCCTAATTGTACATTCCAAGTTCGTAAAAGCCTTGCTTGATTTTTTGTGAAAGGCCATGCAAACCTAATATTTTTCTTGTACTCCGGGGTTAGAAACATGAAAACACAAAGCGGTTTTCCTTATGTGTTTCCAACTATAGGCAATAGAACTTTGCTATCCAGGGAAGTGCCGTCACGACAAAGTTAGCTGCTTTACTTTTATTTCTTATGAATAACAATAAACAATTCTTGCACAAACCATGCGGCGCTGGGTTTTCGATGCTGAATTAAAGTTAACTGTGCACCCATTAGTCACTGCCGAAGTACCACCTGTGCATAAACATCACAATACATTATGAAATGTGTTAGCATTTACTGTCCTGGTGCGTGCAGCCACCTTTCGTTTGAATGGTCGTGGTTTGGACTGGACTGGACCGGAGATGCCGTGGCGCAACTCCCGTTGTGCTTTATAGCTCTGTTTGTTTGCTCATTACGTCCACTTTCCCTGTTACAAGAGGGAAAGAGTCAATTGGCACACTTCCAATGATGCGCAGTGGGAGAGGAAGGGATTGAGCGTCTCCTAGCTGCGCCGAAGGACCAACATGGGTGGCACAACATATGCAACAACAAGAAACTGAGCTGAAGCGACGTTGTTCGTGCAAAACCACCGACACCGGAAGGAAAGATTGGCTTTTCCAAGACAACAGTATGCAGACCATAGGAGGCGATCGATTGAACCTGTGGTAGCTGCATCCGAAACCGTCGACGTCCAGGAGGACAGACTGGCTCTCCGAACACAGCAGTATGAAGACTGTTGCAAGGTTGGAATTCCCATCCATCACCGAGTTGGAACCCCGCGCTACATGCTAATGCATTTCGTCGAGAGCCAGCGTAGCGACAGCAGTGACTTTGGCCTTATTTTTTTGTTACAAATAGACCACGACAAACATCTGCAATATTGTAAGCCCACTAAGGTCTTCATATCCAAGGCTAGCAGGCAATTACTTCTGTGCAGATTCATTCGTTAGAAAAACAAATTGTGTAGTTGTCGTTTCATATACTTGGTAAACACGTTACCTTTCCTTTTTTTTTTCGTCTAGACTTCTCAGACATAGTGGCTAAAGGCCTAAATTAGTATGAACTCTATTTTGCAAAAAGCTATTGCAACCGCTATTCATGTTTCGCCGGAGACGACAGCTTGACCAAACTGTTTACAAGGTTGTATTTACGTTTCTTTTTTATTTGCATGGCAGGTGACAGCTGGATTGTGCCCAGTTATGCCTCTCATGGCATGATAACTTGCACATCTAAATCCGTGCCTCTGCACCTGATACTGCCAAAATGACACAATTTTTAACCACGTTGGCACACCAGCAGGATGCTTGGTGTTGCCCAGCCTAAAGAGCAGATGACACACCGGGGTGAGAGGAGAGAGAGGGCATTTCAATCTCCACTCTCTCTGGTGGAATTGTCAATCGCAACTCCAGCCCGCCTCTCGCCCTCGACGATGAACGAGGAACCAGGGGAGCAGGAACGGCGGCGGAGACGGTGGCAGGGACTATCAGCCTTGGTGCTGCTGTTTCCGCACGGTTCTCGCCGGCATTGTTGTATATCATGTAGTTTCAACAGAAAAAGCCGAGTGCGTTCAAATAAGAATTGTTGTTTTCCGCTTCGCAAATCTTAAAAATCGACATGTTAATTTTCTTAATGCATGTCAACGTTACCTGTGATATACTCCTGCCTGGACTGTGTCGTATTTATAGCCAAATAAATTAATTTTAGCACACTGACCAGCGTCAGCGAGCAGGAGCACAGGAAATCCTGGAGGAACTATACCAACCTCCTCAGCAATTTTGGAACTACTGCTCTGCCATCTATAGGGCATTGGGGTTGCCTGCGACATTCTTTTGGGAGCGACTGCCCTGATGCAAAAGGGTTTTGGTACTACTGTATACTGAATACTGCACAGAGTCACTAAATAAGCTATGCTTTAGAGCAGGGGTGGCCAAGCTGCGGCTCTTCGTGTGTTAAAGTGCAGCTCGCGGCTCACTTCCCTACCCCCCCCCCCCCCCCCCACTTGCCCACTTTCCCAAAAAGAGAAATGGAATGAGTTTTAAATCGAAAAACAGGTTGCGGTTTGGTAGTGTTGTGCTACTACTTCTTTATGTACAGTAGAACTACTTTTGACTCGAATAGATTTGTAGTTTGCCCCCGGCTCTTGTAAGTCACGTGGTTTTGTTTGCAGCACTTAAGCCGGGTCAGGCCTGGCCACCCCTGCTTTAGAGTAACGAAACTTACCTATCTCATTGCTTAAAATCATGGTTTCCAGTTATGCTTTATCTGAAATCACAGGAAACGCTTTTCCATCCTCCACAAATGTTTAAACAGTTTGCTTCCTAAGACCGAATCTAATGGTGAGAAAGTCTCACTTTTGAATCATGACGATCGGCAGTTGTGTCTGCTCCATGCAAAGCACCAGGATGGTGGTGTCCACAAGAATATCGGGGTACAAAGCAGCAATACTCTAAGCTCTAAGATACACTAACAATTCATAACACATGGTCTGGAGTCCGGACAGCACAACCGCTTAATAAAGCCTAGTGGAAATAAAGACAAGAATGTTAGCATTTGAGAATGCATTCAATGGCCACTGACAGTGCAAAAAGTTATAGCCGAACTGCATTTCGCCGAGGGGGTCACAACGGGCTTCAGTCTAATAATTTAATGCTGCTCTGTCTCATACTAAATTTAAATAAACTTGCATGCAACCAAATCAGAACATTGCACTTTCTAAAAAAGTAACATTCCCCAATAAAGTGGGTTTCAGCTAAGCCCGCACACTCTACTGAAGATAATAAATATTTAAAAATTAACGTTCAGTAAAAATGTACAGCTCCCCGATCCTGGCGAATGGCAGGCACGGCGCGAGGCGACCACACATTTCCTCCGACAATCAAGATTAATTAAGTAGCAGCCTTCCGGACTCAAAAAAAGCTTGTCGCAGTGAACGATTAGCGTTTTCACCTACAGATTTCGACCGAAATGGCCGCCCACAGCGACCAAAGCTTAGTCACCAGCGGCATCAAAGCAGTGCGGAGAAGCCGCCGTCCAGAGCGGCCCTTCACAAAGAGAACCAAGGATCAAGGTCGAACTGACTCAGCCGTAGGTGGTCCCTCTCGACGGCGATGCACACGGCTGGCTTGAAGTCGCCGCCGATTCGAATGCGGATGTCGGGGTCGACCTGGGGTCCGTCGAACCCTTCCAGGAGACTGCTGGCCACCGACACATCGTCGTTGAAGAGCGCCGTCAGGAAGCGGCATTCCCTCCCCCAGTAGGGCTCTGCGATACGGAATGGCGTTTTGCTCGAAGGTTGAGAACGCCAGGGAGTCCCTCGGATGCTCGTCATTTATTATCGTGCTTTGCATGCGGCTGAAGTACGCTCGGTACAGGATTCAAATCGAAAGTGCCCCGCTCGCGAGTGACCACCCGTTTTCTTTGACTCTTAAGTTTCCCCCAGTTTTCACAAAGCACGTGCTGTCAAAACAGAATCAAGTTCATACTAAAGATCGAGTCGTTCGCTACCCAGTTTCGGCCGTTCATCGTAAGTCGCGACAAAGCGAAAAGACGTCCCTACTCACCGCATTGACTCATGCAAGCGTCCGATGCTCCAGCGAAACGGTGTCCCCTTTGGAGCGCCACCGACTGAGGCACGCAACAAGCGGTCGAATGACAACACAACACCGCGCCGTACGCAACAGGGCCGCGCTCAAGGTCGCTGGCTTTCTCTGCCATTAATCCGACGAGGCCGTGCTTGGACGATCGGATGGGGAAAGCGCTGTTTTTAGTCTTGGCGAGTTGAATAGATGCGCCAAAAATCATACGGTGGAAAGCAGGAAAAGTTTCGAAAGAAAAGAGAGAGAGCAGAGCCCAAGCGCAGCACCGTGTAGTCTTGGTTGGATGGATGGACGGATCAGTGTTGCCAGACGGAGAAAAAAAAAGTCAGCAGATTGATCCCCAAAAAGTCAGTAGATTTGCACAAAAATCAGTAGATTCTACGAAATCTGCGTTTTGCCATGTTTTGCTATTTCCATTAAACCATACTTCATAGAAATAGTATGGAGTAACAAATAACATGGTAATAAACACAAATAAAAATGAAAAAAAAGACCAGTTCTCGAGTAATTCGTTATGAAGGACAAAATAAAATGGCACCGCAAATGTTTATTTTTTTATTTGCATTGATTAGTTTTGCGATTTCGAGGATTATTCTTTGAAATCGAGACTGAGTCACTTTTGGGATTAACAGATGAGGGCGACAGTGCGACATCCACCTGTCACTAATATTGAAACGAAACCAAAACAAGACGTTTTGGCAAGTGCGTCCGTACATGTCCAATGTAAGTCCTCTGCAAGCTGCCATTTTTCCTTTCTGGGCTGTGGAAGGTTTTTGACGCAACGCTGTCGGCGCGGAGCACTGTTAAGGGTACGCATTGTCTGCTACGGGCATATTTCTTTTTCGCCTGTCTCAAAGTTTGCGTTCAAACGTGGAGATACTTAATTCGTTAGGTATTTAAGCCACCGAGGAATAACATTATATAATTTTCTTGCCAGAGCCTGCCAATAAAAGGAAAGAACCGAAATTTGGATGTCGATCCGTTGCATTCCGCCGGGCGAATGAATGAAAATGGCAGCCCTCTCCGTTCAGCTGGGGGCAGCCGAGAGTTCACGCGCATGCGCTCACACCTCTCGCTCTGCGCCCCAGGCTGATTGGCTCACTCGGGAGAGAGACGTTACGGCGGCGAGATCATAGCCTGGCCAAGCTCTCCCCCTATATGTCTCTGGCCCGGATGTCACCGTCGAACCTGCTCTGGGTGAATAGATAGATGAATATACGGCTAAGTCACTCGCATAGGACGGGCTTCTGGGCCATCTAGCCAGTGCTTTATTTTTAATTCTGGGAGAATATGAGTTTCCTTTGATGGGCGACCCTGGGAACTGAAGGGGCCAAATAATAAATTTTAATATGTTTACTAAAAAAAAAGTCAGTAGATTTTCGTTTTTTTCAGTGAATCAGTAGACCCGGAACGAAATCAGTAGATCTACTGATAAATCAGTAGACCTGGCAACACTGGGACGGATAAATGGAGCGGTGGTAAGCGTAAGGGTTAAATGTAGTAACTCTTTATGGTTGAAAATACGGTACGCGTAGGCTGTGTTTCAAATCTTACTCAAATAGATCCGAGTTACTCCGGCGGGTCGTGTCACGTGACAACACAGATTGAAAAATGCTGGACGACGGTAGGTTTTGGAACGCCAAGGTACAAACCCCTTACCCTGGAGCAAGATCGAGTAAATTTTGGAACACGGCCGTGATGTTTCGATTATGATCAAGATAAAAGATGTAAGAAACGAATGCGCCGCTCAACTCAGCCATCTTGCATGTTGAAAATCTCGTTTCTGGAGCGTTGCGGAAGCTGGCAGCAGCGTGCCGAAGACGCGTTTTCTACTCGTTCGTCGTCATTCGCCCAAAGAAGTTCTTTAAAAACCCTGTGTAATCCGTGAGACTTGCTGTTGAGAACAGATGGAAATTTTTTACGGACGCGTAGTGCAACAGAAAAAAGGCGCAACTCCTCGAAGGCAAGTTTCTCAGGTCTTGCAGCATAATCAAATCTTCCTTGGCACGCCGAGGCGCTGAGTCTCTGTGCCTTCGCACGCAGAGGTCTGTTCGCACGCTTGGATACTGATCAAGAATCAACACCGTGTAGATGTGTTCATCAATGATCTTCACTCTAACATCAAATCATTGCGCTCGTCTATTCGCGTATGATTGTGTCATCTACCGTCCCGTTATAGACCCTTGCGATAGTACAATTTTACAAGACTACTTAGACACAGTTTCAAGCTGGTGTGACACGTGGCTCATGAAAATAAATAAAACAAAAGCTATGATCTTCACCTTGAAACGACATCTCACTTCTCACATTGGTAGCGACGCCGTTGAAAATGTCTTATCCTTTAAATATCTTGACGCATCTCTCATCGTACTTAACGTGGGACCTTCACATTGAACACATTGCTATACTCGGCGACAACTTTTCTTGGCAATGCAGTGGAAGGTACGTCCCGTGTCCCCTCTCCCATTTTCAGTGTACGCAGGCTCTCCTCCTCTCCCCAAAAATGGGGGAGGAGGAGAGCCTGCGTACACTCAAAATGGGAGAGGGGACGCGGGACGTACCTTCCACTGCATTGCCAAGAAAGTTGTCGCGGAGTATAACAAGGCATCGCAAACTCTTGGCTTTTTCAAACAAACACTGTTCCAAGCACACAGATACAAATCTTCTTGACTACAGTGCTGGGCTAGTTGGTTGAACATGTTTAGGGGTTAAAAGTGGTAAAAAAAGCGACGGGCGTGCAGAAGAGACATACACCACAGAGCGTGTGCGGCCTTGTCAGATCTCAACTTGAGTATGCATAAATCATCTGGCACCCTCATCAAACATATCTGGCAGATAAGATTGAATCTTTTCAAAGCAAAGCTGCTAGATGTAAAGCTTGTTGATTACTCACGCTCGTTTAATTCACAAGTGTAAGCAGTTTAAAACTTCGACTTAATTAACTTGTCACTTCTTCATACAAGAATTAGGGCACCTCGTATGCTTATCATTTATTCATAAACTTTATTACAGTCCCTCGCCTATATGCACAACACCTACCATTAAAAGACCGCAAAATGGATGAAGACTCTGAAGTGCCCAGATATGTTGTAATTAACGGCCAAACGGCTGCGTTTGTTAGCAATTTTCAAGCTGTGTTAGAGACTTCGTTGCACTGTCCGTTTTTTTTTTATTTTTCCTTCGTGTCAGGGTTATTATGGTTAGCAGCTCTGTTCCCCTAAGCAAGCTCAGTAAATTAAACACCTGTGCAACTAAAACCACAAAGTGGTCGCTCTCAAAGTCCGGCTGGCAGGGTCCTTCATGACATTTGTCTCAGTGTACTAGAGTCTGGACCAACAGTGGCCAAAACGTGGACACTGAACTGGATCAGCAGCCGAACTGATGCCACATGGAAGCTAAGAAACTGTTAACTATCAGCAGTAAGGTCAATGCCTGGCATTCACTGTGTGGCTGTACCAGGGACAGTCTGGGGAACACCAGCATGCGCAGGTGGCAAAGATAGAGCTCTTCAATGGCCCGGATATCCCAACCCATGTTGTGGCGGAAGTTCGCAAATGGACACACCAGACTTGACTTGGGCCTCCCCAAGCCTTTGAGACGAATGCTGAGCGAACGCTGTCACAACAGGGTGACACTTACCCATCTGGATAATTGAAGACGCAGCATTGATAGTTCCTGCCAAACGTTTGCGGTTATTTATGAAAATACAATACATTCTTCCTTACCTGCGAGATTCCAGAAATAAAGATAAAATAGGAAATTTCGGTTGTGCAAGCTATTTTGAGTGAACCATTCGATGGAGCGGCATTCAATGAAACAGCGTTCAATAATGAAATGTCCCCCCCCCCCCCCCCAAAAGATCTGAAAATGAAAATGGAAACTATGCCGCTGGGCAGGGTAACCATGATTGCAGACAGGCCGCTATTTCTAATGAGTTGAAGGCAACTGAAACAGTGTCGCACCTCATTACTGGCAGGGCGGCCGTAAGGTGTGTGAACGGCGGTATGAATCCTAATTATGGTCCTAAAAAAAATGAAAGCCGTTTACAACTCCCTATAACGCCGAATTAGAGTGCAGCTCTTGAGGAGGAGGAGGGAAGGGTACTGAGGGGAGGATATACCCCTCCTCCCTCCTCCTCACGTCCTCATCCTGTCAGCTAGTCCTCCCTCCCGAGCGGCGTCGCCTCACGAGGGTCACGTGACCTCACAGGGGTCACGTGACGATGACGTCATTAGCGACGTCACCAGTGACATCCCTGATGACATCATCATCACTAGTGACGTCATCAGTGACGATGACGCTGACGATGCGAATGCCGATGATGTCATCAGTGACGTCACTGATGACGTCATAAGTGACGATGACGTCATCAGTGACGTTACTGATGACGTTATCAGTGACGATGACGATGCGGATTCCGATGACGTCATCAGTGACGTCATGTGTCCCATAACGCACAGCGCGGTTACGCCGACGGCGATGCCGCCCAAGCCGGAAACGGGCGCCTAAGAGCTGCGCTCTAAGAGTGCATTACAAGTTAGGTATGCCCTTCCAGTATGCTATCCCAGCCTGTGCTAGTAGCCAGAGTGGTCAAAGGTGTGTGGATGGCGCAGTATCCTGTTTATGCTTCGAAGCAGAGCACTGCCAGTGAGATCTTGTCCATGGTTCTGTTACATGTGTCTATGACATGAATGACTCCCGAAGTCATGTTTATGCTTCGAGACAGCAGTCTCGACTTCATAATTCGATGGTCTGCTTCTTCGACCTAACTCGGTGCTCTGCTCTTAGGGTGCTCTGGAGGAAAGTAGATCAACAACTGATGGATCGATTTCCTTTATGCTGAAAAGAATGCACCTTTTCCGAGAAGCGTTCTGCGCACGCGCGAGCGCCCGATGCCAAGCGGTGGAAGTCGGAACGAAAAATCGAGGAAATTCGGAATGAGGCTGTAGATCGACGAGTAGAACACGTAATTGCAGCATATATATAATTGTGTTACACAAAAAAAGAAAGTGGACGGAAAGAAAAACACGACGTTTGGGTGGACGCTACGGATTTCCCTCTTTAAAGTCGCGTTGGGCACGCGACGCAGCTCAGAGAGCGAAGCAACTGGCAGCATAGCTCCCATTATCGATTGGTAGCGCAGGTAGGTCACTTCCTTGATTTTTAGTTCGTGGAGCCACCGCCTGGTGCCGTCGGTATTTGGAAAAGGTCCATTGCACTATGGCCTCAGTGGAGGAAGGGAAATAAGGGAAGGAACATGTTCACATAATGCGGTCGACGCCAGTCAAGTGCACAAACTCCCATAGTGAGGAGAGTGTCTCTTTAGTGTGAGCATCGTTCTTCAAGGTAACCAAGTCCTGAAGGTTGCGGATGGTGGATTGAGGTGCTTGATCCTTTTGGCTTGCAATCTAAGAGGCGGCGCTGGATTGTTGGACTGATGTCAACAGAGCGGTTACCGGTGTGCCCCAACTAATCCTCGTCCGTCAGCGCTCGGGTAAATGGCCTCTCTGCCGCTTGTAGGTACCATATGTCACCTGGCAAGTATGTCCACCTAAGAAGCTCCAGTGCAGGCTTTGTGTCTCAACACTTGACCACTCTGGGTAGACCCTTGGGTAACCGCAGGGTTGTGAAGATTCAGCTCTCTCGCACTGTTGCTTGAGCCACATTCTGTAGCTTCGCGGTCATGGGAACTGCATCTTTCCACATTGCTACTGCCTTCCGGAAGGTTGTAAAACAAAGGTATAAAAATGTTTGCACCAATTTAAAAAAAAAAAATGTAAATAGGAGACTGCATGTGCCCATCTATTTATTAACAAAGTCGGAACGGGACCTGGTTGCATTAGAAGTTTATAAACCTAGAACTGAAAGGCATGTCTCCAAAAATATAAAAATCTGAAATTTTGTTTTTTTATAACGAGTTACATTTGCGGAGGTAGATCACATTTTGTCCTAAGGCATTGAAGATGAATGGGCCATTCATCTGCAATTAGAATGAATTGCGCTACTCCTGCACAGATGTGACAATTGTACCGCGAACATGAGCCGAAGTATAGCCAGCACCGGCATTACTGTTGCGGCCGTGGGACCGCAGCCTTAACGCGTTCAACGATTGCAGTGGAGACAAAGGCTGCTTTTGTCTCCACTGCACTTGTCGACCACGTTCGAATGCTAACTCTAAACACCAGCCGCTGGCGTTACAACGCATGCAGTGGAGACAAATCGGCCGATAGCTTGAGATCTACCTCTACCGCTTTGGTCTACCCACTAATCACTCCAACCAGAGCTCGGTGTTCAGACGTCCCCACGTGCTCCTTGTCTACTCCTCTTTCTTGCGCGTTATTTTACTCAGAGAAATGACCCGATGAGTAGCATCACCTGCTAGAGTTTTTGGTTGGCACAGCATCACTTTGCGATACGAATTTAACATACAATTTGGGGCATGTACTTAAAAGCCAGGATCTGTACGTTCCTCAGAAAGTACCCCAAAAAATGACCGCATCTCCACGTGGTGAATGATGTTGATTGGGGCGAAGCTCTGGTGGTGCTGATGATACTGATTTTATTGTACATAGGTAGTGCTGATGGTGCTGATTTTTTTTATTGTTCATAGGTAGTGCCGAGTTCCTGGTTGCGTTTTGACTTCATTATTACTGCTTTATGGTCGCTGAAATGCAGAGCCAGTGGTTCTTCTAGCGGATCAACTTGGATCCACTAGAAGCCGTGGGAACGCATCTCCACCGCTTAAGTCAACTGTCCATGTCAGAAAGTGAATGTGTGGTATGGAACGTGGTTATATACGCATTTGACCGCAACGCCCTCTCGTCTATAAACGTTGAGCCAATGCATGCAAAGTTTAATGCGATTATATAGCGCCCTCTCCTGTACAGACGTTGAGCGGCTGCATGCAACGTTTCATTCATGACATCCCCAGCTCTTGAGTAGGGAAAGCCGAGTGGTTAAGGCGAGGGACTAGAAATCCATTGGGGTCTCCCCGCACAGGTTTGAATACTGTTGAGTGAACAAACATTTTTTCTTTTTATGTGAGCACGGACGCCGGGCGGACGGGACGGACAAGGCTAGACCCTAAAGAGCTTCGCCCATAAAAAATGAGACGTTTACAATCTCCTGCACCCCAAAATTAGAGTGCAGCTCTTGAAGAGGAGGGCAAGATACGGATAGGAGGGTATGCCCCTCTGCCACATCCCTCCCCTCCCATTTAGCCGAAAAAATTCTCCGCTAAATCTTGTGGGGAATTTTTTTTTGCTAATTTTAGTGGGGGAATTTTTGTGCCAAATTTAGAGAGGAAATTTTTTCACTAAATTAAGCAAGGAAATTTTTCAGGTAAATTTAGCAGGAAAATTTTTCTGCTAAATTTATGGGAATTTCTTTTGCTAAATTTAGTGGGGAAATTTTTTCCGCTAAATTTAGCAGGAAGTTTATTACGCTGTATCTGAGGCATATTTTTTCTGCCAGCGGGGAAATTTCTCCACTTAACTCGGCAGGGAATTTTTTCTGCGAAGTTTAGTGGGTAAAGTTTTTGCGCTAAGTTTAGCGGAATTTTTTCTGCTAAATTTAGTGGGGAATTTTTTCTGCTAAATTTACAGGAGAATTTTCCCACTAAACTTAGCGGGTAAATTTACCCACAATGCAATGCGTGGTGATGTTGTTATGGAAAACAACCCATAGTGCAACGCGCAGTTACACCGACGCCGCTCAAGCTGGAAACAGGCGCCCAAGAGCTGCCCTCTAAAAATACTCGCGCAGGCTCTCCCAACACTCTCTCTTCCCTGACCCCATCTATGGACAAATAAAGGTTGTAAATTAACCCATCGCAGAGGCACAGTCACACCCCTCACAGCCTCAAAAGGCGTAACTGCGCCTGCGCTCAGAGCCCCAACCAGACAGTGCCCGCCGGGTGACGCACCAAGCCCAAATGTAATGTCAACCTCCTTTGTGGCCTCAAATGCTCGGAGACCTCCCTTCCACCGTGGCAATGACACACAGAATCGACTTCTCTGCAATTTTAGACAAAATTTGCAGTAAAATCAGTAACAGGATTTTTGACAAAAAAAAACATCCCTAGGTTTTTAAAAATTCTGGAGCAGCATTTGAAAATTAAATTCTATGATGCGATCCAATGCACCCTTCATGGAAACGTTGGGCCATGAATGGACACTCCATGCCTTCTGCGTGCTTTGGCTACGCGTGCGCACACTCAAGATGCCAAAGGTAGGAAGCTCACGCAGGAAGCAGACAACTGAAGGGCCTCACCATTCTCACCATGTTGTAACTATAGACCATTCCATTTAGCGCTCTCTGGGCGGCACCATTTTGCTCGACCGCAGCGCCCTCTCTACACATCCGGGAAGTTCAGCGGGTTCGGCGGGGTAAAACGAGAGAGAGGGCACGCGCCCGACTCCGCTAGCAGACGACAAACCGGGAGGTCGCCATTCTCCATCTTTGGGCTGTATCGGCGTGCTCTACCGAACATCGAACTCTCGCTTGTAGCTATTGTTGTGAAGTGGTTCGCGTTCTTAGAATAGTTGTGGCTACTCCAAAATTATCCTATAGCACTCCGTTGTTCTATTTTGCTAAATGATCAACTAGCATATCTTTTTTCCGTTACTTAAATAGCAGTTCAGTCAGCCGGCAGTACTACCCCCAACTACTGCTTGTATTATGGCAGGAGAGCATGTTTTATTTATTATTTCATTCTTCCATTCATGGTCGCTAAAGGCCCTACACCAGTACGAACTTTTGTATAGTAAAAAGGTACAGCCACCGGATTTACCTTTCGCCAAAGAGACCGGCCAATCTGACACAGTTTTCTCTATTTTTTTTTTTTTATTTGCTCGCAGGTAACAGCGCAATTGGACCCCGTGAGTCTTTTTATCTAGCGTAATATTACACGACAACTGGCATACCAAAATCTGCGCATCTGCGCTTGAAAGTTCCAAAATGACGCGATTTTAAAGAGTTTGAAGGCCAGCCGGACGCTAGCTACAGCCCGCTCGGCGGAGCGAACGACATGTGGGGTGAGAGGGGGAGTTCATTTTTTTCTCTTTTACCCTCTCTGCTATGACCCTAATGGAACGGTCTATAGTCTCGAGAGAAAATAGTGATGAGAATTGCTCTTGAATGTCAAACTTCCAGCATGCACTTATTTCTTCACACCATGCTTCGGTTATGCATGTGTGTTTGAAGTTCATGGGACTCCAAAGCACCATCCAAGGTAGAAAAACCCGTGCTGGAGGTGGGCAACAAACTTTTCCCTACTCTACATCCTGTCAGTGACAAGAGTTTCACACTTTTGAGCTAATGAGAGTAAAAAGATTAACAAAGGCCTACAATGCACAGGCTTTGTTATTCACTTCAGTGCAAGTGCTCTTCCTTCATCAGCCACTATTCACGAGGGTCGGTAGTCATGCAAGATGGCACAAGAAACGAGCACAGATTTTCTAGGATTTCCCGTGTCCCTGCTCGCTGGTCAGTATGGCAAAGTTTAACATTTGGCTACAAATATGAGCGGTCAGGGCAGAAGAATATCACAATTGACAGCCGAAGGCTGGGCATCCAAAAGACGCAAATTACTGTTCCCATTCTGTTAAGAGGACCAGACTGAATTTCGGCAGGTTGCAGAACTTCAAAATGCTTTCTTTGCAGCAGAGGCATTCCAGGTAAATCAGACAAAAGGCCCTTTTCCGAGGGTATGGTTGGCTCTTGCTTTTATTGGCTCAGTGCTGGGACTTTGCTTGGAGACGACGGTCCCGCTCCTCGGCCACGGACAGCTTGATGCCCTTGCCTCGGGGCAGCGAGATGTACGGCTTGGTGCTCTTGCCAATCACAAAAATGTAGTTCAACCTGGGCACAAAGACCCGAGCAACTGGTAAACGAGCTATGCACATGCAGCAAGAGGCTCAGAAATCCAGACAAAAGCTACTGCCACGCTCAGAAAGACTAATCAAGCGATCAGTGAACAGTCACGCTAGGGTTTTTCTCCTCATTGCATGGCAGGAATAACAAACGGATGACCCCAAAGTTTTGGCACAATGCAACGTAGCCAAGCTTCTGCGGGCATACAAACAGGTCTCGTAACGTTGTCAAAACGACAAATATAAGCGTTGATCGAATGCGACACTGAGGTGTTTGTGCCCTTCCACTCCACTAGTGCCAAGAACACGCCTCAGTCGATGAATCGTGCTACTCCCCAAATAAAGAGACCGTAAAAGCAAAGCAAATTGTGCATTAGTATTTACAGTCCGAGATATGCGACTATGCTTGTTTGATGCTTTCAAGAGCAATTTGGCAATACGGTAGCATGAGCATGTGCATGGCAGGACCACTCCTTAAATTGGATAGGCATGTGAACAGCCAGAATACTATAGCCAAATTTAAATACAAATTTGGTTAAGGGGGGACACTGGCTAGAGCTCAAACTTTTTAAGTACTCAAGTGATCGGAATGAAATTTGCAGGGGAGATTTAGCTTCAGATGTAGGTGTATTGTGCAAACTTTCAGCTCTCTAGGACAAATTTACATACCTGCATAAGGTAATCTGTCACTTTTCATTAAGAAATCTATGATATGCAAATCAAGCTACTAAGCATCATTTTGACTGCTTGAATATAAAGTGGGGGATATGGGACCTCGGGCTATCTAGTTTTAATAACTTAAATGTAAATATTTCAGGAAGAGTTATTACCTCAAACTATGAGATACATATCTGTCCTCTGTCAATTTTTGAAAACTTGGTTTTTTATCACTGAAGACTTCAACCTAAAACAAAATAAAGTAGATAGCCCGATTCCTGAGTAAATTTCAGTTCAGAAACATCTTGATTGTGGTATCGGAATACTTTCACCTTCGAACAAAAGATTCCTTCGTATGAAATTTGCAGCAAAAAGTGGAACTGAGAAAAATGCATTCAAACATTGAACTCCTTTACTTTATTACTGCCTCACAATGTGTTGAAAATATTTTATATCAACGTAACTATTTGGCATATGGTTATCAAATTTGGTGTAAGGGTGTATAATTCGTTTCTAAAACTGAAAACCTCAAAAATAAAAAATGAATTTTTTCAAAAAAATTTAAGATTTAGGCCCATGTCCCCCCTAATAACAAATACTCCGGTTAAAATTGGTTTGCAAACACCAGCGGGCTTACTCTTCTTTTCCTTCTCAAATCAAACAGATCCTGAAAGGGCTGCCAAAGTGCCAACATTAAAGTCACTCTAAATGTGCGACTAGATGGCGAACTTCGATGAAGCACAACCCACGCACACAATAGGCACTTCCCTTCCTGTCCAAACAAACGACTCACCGGGTAGCAAACGAGTGTCCCTGTGAGTCCTTGACGTGGACAATGTCGAAGGATCCAGGGTGCCTCTCCCGAGAGGTGATGACGCCGACACGACCCAAGTTGTGTCCGCCGGTCACCATGCACACGTTGCCTGCGGTGCAAAGCAGGGCTTGGCATACACTCTACCAACTCATGGCCTGCAGCTATGCGGGGCCACTACATAAGCTATGCTCAGGGTACAGACACTCAATTCCTCGACTGTTTCATGCGATGGAAACCATTCTGTTGTCCATCGCACAAAACAAGACAGTGATGTGTGCTTCTCTTGGTGATGCCCCACACCGATCACGCAGGTGTCGAGGAGGGGGCGACCGTCTGGAAGCCACACTTGCTCTCGGTCACGCTTTGACTCCGGCCTCCACATCGGGGAGCGCCACAGCTTCGAAGTGACCATCAGAATGTTACCCCAATACCACAGGATAAGTAGCAGACTCGCATTGTAAAGATAAGATGTTATAATCACGAGCATTGAGCAGCGACAAATACGAAATGAAAGCCTGGAAGCACCTCTTTGACTTGCTAAAAAGGCAGCCCACAAGACAGCACCACAGCTGCCACACCTGAAGGGCAACTAGTTAAGCCCAAGGGAATCTACCCCAATTACATTCCCACATTTTCCCCCGAGACTTCTGGAAATTCTCTATCCAATCCTGCTTATGGCCGATACACATGACGGACTGATCACATCCCAACATGTCTGCGGTTCGTCCATCTCCCAAGCGCATCCACACGAGGGAGACGACGAGCAGATGCCATGAGCATCCTCACTGGCATCTGCTTGCCGAAGCTGCGGGGACCAAACCTTTTCACCACCCCACAGTGGCATGAAACTCGCAGATCGCAGCATGGTCCAAAAGAAATTTTTGTTTGCCACCATAATAAAGAATCGTACGCCGCTGTTACGTACAGATCGAGACAGAACACAGCTCTAGAAGAACATTGTTCTAGAAAGCTTGGGCATAGGAGCAACGAAGTTCTGCATTGGCAGAGGGATGTTTGAAGATGCCTTGGTGCACTCTGCGCTCGTGCACAACACTTAAGTACACTGCAGTTGCAAGAAAGGTTGTGCTCGGTGAAAGGCTGAATGGGCGTGCAAGAATTACTGCAGTTGCAAGCTCCACGACAAAAGCAGCAAGCCACTTAAAAAATGCAGGTTTATCACAGGCAGACCCAAGAACTCCCCGACGCACCAGAGTCGAACTTGATGTAGTCGTCGATCTTGCCCGTGGCCAGGTCCACCTTGACGGTGTCGTTCACCTTGATGAGAGGGTCCGGGTAGCGGATGGTGCGTGCGTCGTGGGTCGTCAGGAAGGGCACCCCCTTGGGGCCCACCTGTACCCGCTTCACCCGGCACAGCTTGTACTTGGCCTCCTCCGGGGTGATGCGGTGCAGGGTGAAGCGCCCCTTCACGTCGTACAGCAGCCGGAAGAACTCCCCAGTCTTCTCAATCGTCACCACGTCTGCACACATGTGGCCTCTTGTGTTAACGCTGCTACCAGCAGCGGACCAAATACCTTATTTTAAACATCAAAAAAGACCCAGAGGTCCCTCTCAGCTTAGGTCTGTAGAAACTAAACTTTCTAGGCTTGACAATATCTGTCAGAAGCCACACAAATTGCAAAACTGACAACTTTTTTTTTTTTTTGCGCATTAAACTACTAGGGCAAATTCATGTTTAAATTTAGTCAGTGTGCTATGCTGAAGAGCTAAACACCATAAGGGATATGTCCCAGAAGCTAAGCTATGGCACCAACTGCTACACTGCAACAATGGGAAACTTGGCAGTTCGTTCCAAACCCCCTTTATTTCTTCAGCTCAATACACATAGCAACACATAGCAAACAGTATTAGAAGAAACTCTGGAGCGCCTGGCCTTCGACACATCGTGCACCACCTCAAGGTTGTCAATGTGCAAACCCTGGCACCCCCCCCCCCCCCCCCACCCCCCTTATGCCTCAAGGTAGTGGGAATGTGCTCTGGAGTTCCCGGTCATACTGCTCACAATAGCTCCCGAGTCTCCCTGCATGGCTATTCACCCACCTCCACCTGAATGCTGCTGGGCCAGCTCAAAATGCCCTGTACATTCGTGCTCATTTCACATGCTCGTCTCTAAATGCCACTGCCTTATAGGAAGTTGTAAGTAATTACAGGCTCAGACAACAGTGCCCCTTTCCTTGAAAAACAAAAAGCCTGCACGAGATGCGAGGTTGCAGACATGCTGTTTCAAATTGAGCAAGTACACGAGAACAGTGCACCGCTGGAGGTCTCTGCAGGCTGCGACATGTAAAGGGCGCCGAATAGAGAGTTCAGAACAAAGGATTCTAACGCTTTGGGTTCACTGCAGCATGGGCCGTCATGCTGCTGAACTCTAGTAACATGACCTTGTAATCAAGGTGCTGCGCAATGAGCAAGGTGCATCACTCACCCATGAAGCCAGCAGGATAGTTTGTGTCTGTGCGGACTTTGCCGTCCACCTTGATCAATCTCTGCTTGACAATCTTCTTCACCTCCGCACCCGTGAGAGCATACTTGAGCCGGTTCCTCAGCATGATGATGAGAGGAAGCGACTCCCGCAGCTTGTGGGGGCCGGTGCTGGGCCGGGGAGCCTATGCAACAAGAGGGCCGTCATATTTCTACAGACAACTTGACACAAAGCACTGGACCACAACACAGCATACAACATTTGTCTTTCAACAAGTAGGCCAAAACAATTCAGCTTGCCCACCTCGTACGCTAAACACTTTACAAATTGCGCCACAATTTACGCGAGTAAACTAGCAATCTTTAGACGACATTCATGCGAGTCCTGTGGCATTACCACGCTTATGACACTAAGACTGCCACCCTGCCTCGTTCGAACGACTAACTGAGAAATAAATGAAATGGTGTCACTGTATGCTATGCATCAAGATCTAAACTACAATTTGCTGAGCACTCAAAACTGCAATAGATCTCTCTTCATGCTCTGCGAAAAAGCAGATGTGCAGTTATTTTTCTAAGTTAGAACACAAGCACACGTGCAAGTAAAATGTGGCCTCCAACTGGCATCTAAGTATTAATTTCGGGTCAATAATGTGGACTGCCAACTAGTGTAACTGAACATTCTAGTGGCAGAATAAGATCAGGGATAACATCCTTATGTTGTACACCAACATTATCCCGTAAAAGAGCAAACAAGGTTACTAATTTATTCCTGTTTTCCATGCCTTCCCAGCAACTGATTACATTAGTAACGGTATTTTTTTTGAGTAATGCTATATGCACTCCGGAGTGCAGCTCGGCCGGAAATTGCTATATGCACTACGTTTGTCTCGCATAAAATGAACGATCACAACGAGTTTCCCAACCGGTGGCATGGCGTAGGGGTTAGGGTGTCCGCTTCGTACGCAAGTGGACGCGGGTTCGAATCGAAATGAGCCTACCTTTTTTTTCTTTTTGTTTTTGAACGTTGTTTTGTCGAGGCATTTGGCGATATTTATATTTCGTTTTTGCGATGAACACTAAAAAAAAAAAAAAAAAAAAACACCGAATGTTGTCGACGAAACTTCGCAGATCGGGGACCGCGGGGCTTGGGTTGCCGGCTGGACGCCGCGAAGCGGCGTGTACTGGTTAACTTTTCTAATTAGCAGCCGCATACTGTCGCCGCGAAGCGGCGTGAACGCAGGCGGGGGGCTGTGTTAACGAGCTCCCCAGTGATACACGCGCAGTTCGAAAAAGGGTGGCCCGAGCGGCATGAGCTCTCCCCGTAGTGCATATAGCAATTTCCGTCCAAAGTGCACTACGTAGTGCATATAGCATCGCTCATTTTTTTTTATTTACTTTTTTTTTTTTAGCAATGAATTTTAGTTTAACGCAAATGAACCCCCCGTTTATTTTACGTAAACTCACGAGAGCGTGCTCAATGAGCACTTGATTTGCTATTTCTAAGATGCACTTGGCACACAAAGTGCGAACATAACCCACAGAAAATAGAAAATAAATGAGACCGGAACTACTCACAAAAACTCCACCGAGCTTGTCCAGCATCCATGATTTCGGAGCGTTTAAACGCTTGAGGTGCTTCTTGGGTCCCCGTGCCTATGGAAGGAAACATGTGATGACTTACAACACAAGAACTAAGCCAAGTCTGAACCTAAATGGAAATTTGTGTTATATAAGATATAAGAGTGTTGCAGAATACAAAGAAAAACCAACGACATCATCGAGAACTTTGTTTGCTCGCGTGTGCGACGAACTGTCGGCATATTACAGATTCGAGATACTTGTCAACATCGGAGAGTTTTAAAAAAAATTACGCTACCTAGCAGGTTACTAATGCGTGCGAACGAAACACTACTTGTGTTACTTTTCGTGCAGTCTAAAATTATTGGCGTGTAAGCACAACGAAATAAGGATTATTTCAGATTGAGACATTGACATCCTTACCATATTAGAAGGCAGCCATGAAAGAGGGAAATCCCAGCAGGCCCCACAAAAAGTGCTGCGAAGAGTCGGGTGAGCTGCGATTTCATTGGTTGATATTTTCCAAAATACTGACTTCCGTCTTTTTAATTGTCGTAGATACAGTCTTGCTCATGTATTAAATTATATTAATAAATATAATAATATTACGCTATTTATGGTATGCCACTTAAATTACGTAAGCTAATGAAAATAACATATTTATGTTTGCTGCGAGATTAGCGTCGATCGAGCGCCGCCTGTTGTCTCATCGAAAATAGGCTTATCCTTTTCCTATATTACACGTGTAGGGAACAGTCCCAAGACCTCGCGTGTCCCTCAAAAAGCATGCCTCCGAAGGGTAAGAAACCCCCCGCAGCCGCCGCAAAGGCCGACAAACCCGAGAAGGAGAAGAAGCCCGCCGCCGCTGCCGCTCCTGAGAAGAAGGAGGCCGCCCCAGCCGCGCCGAAAGCCGCCGAAAAGAAGCAAGCTGCCAAGAAGGGCAAGGATGCCGGCGGTCAGGCAAAGGCCCGCGCCAAGGCGATGGCCGCCCGACGAAAGGTAGTCAAGGGAACCCACGGGACCCGGACAAAAAAGATCCGCACGTCCGTCAAGTTCCGTCGCCCCAAGACTCTGTCGCTGCCCCGCAAGCCCAAGTACCCGCAGAGGAGCGTGCCCAGGCGGACCCGTCTCGATCAGTTCTCCATCATCAAGCACCCGCTGACGACGGAGTCTGCGATGAAGAAGATCGAGGATAACAACACGCTGGTGTTCATCGTCCACCTGCGGGCCAACAAGCACCAGATCAAGGCGGCCGTGAAGAAGCTGTACGACATCGATGTGGCCAAAGTCAACACGCTCATCCGGCCCGATGGACAAAAGAAGGCCTACGTGAGGCTGGCTCCCGACTACGACGCGCTCGACGTGGCCAACAAGATCGGCATCATATAGAGCGTCCCTCCCTGGAATAAAGCGGTTTGTGAGACGGTCAGTTTTATTCCTTGCACGTGGTTGTGTGGTTGCCGCTGTCACGTGTTGCAATGTCTGCCGGTCGGTGGCATTCGCCACGCGGTGATGCTGTCACTAGTTTTGTCCGTGTCGAGCTATATAAATTGCGTACTTCGTTGCTCAAAGTATTGAACTTGCACTACAACCTGTTCAAAACACTACCGACACAGAAACTGCTGTTTGGGTTCGGTGGACGGCTGCATGTCCACCATGCTTATGGCCATTGACATTGGTGAATAATATCGAGTCAACCATTTTTTTAGAGGTCAAGATGTATACAGACATGACTGCTCTTTACGAAAAAAAAATCGTGTAAAAAAAAAATTTGACAGGTGGACATATTTTGGGTGAAAACCATTTTTTGAAAAGTTGGAGCAATCAGCACACCAATATTTTATTGGCATCTCCTAACATGTACTGGACTGCCCTGCGCCTACTTTCGCAACATTACGTGGAACATTCCTCTATTAGTAGTTAGTTAGCACTATTTTGCAGATTTAATATATCTGTCACTTGTATTTACTTTCATTGAAATTGAATTAAATATAAATTCCATTTCACTTAAAGCCTGCAGAAACAAGGCCTCTATAGTTGGCATCTTATAGTTTAAATGTTAACGATGTCGCGAAAAAACACCAGAAATTTATTTACAACAAATCAGTAAATGTTTCCAAAGCTCCTTGGAATGTTGCAATGTCAATTACTTCATAAAAGCAGCACCACACTGCAGGAGTATGGCACCAAGCAATGCACGCACGTCGGTAAAATGCTGCTGTACCAGATTTTCATTCTCTCCTCCTGCTGTAGATGACGGGTAGATGTGGTCTCACTTCGCCTACGCTTGTGTCCCACAACCGGTTCTTGGACATCTCAAACGGCTAGGTTGTAATGCATTGATGCATAGCCGCCTCTACTCAGAAAGCCTGGCAGTTCGACGACGGAGCCATACAGTGCCCGGTCGCAGATTTGGAGAGCAAGGATCTGGTAGCACGGAGCATTTTCTCGGGGAGTCGGTATTCAGCGCACAGCTTTCGCAGCGGCGAAAACCCGAAACGTGGTTTTCAAACCCGCCGAGAAAAGAAGCGGTAGCCCGAGGACCGCGAGAAGCACGAGCGAACATTCCATCGCTCGGGACAAGTGTGTTTCAGTTTCTCACCGCAGCGGGGCGCCCGTTACATGACTCTTGTCTGCCGCTCTATCTTTTCACTTTCGGCAGCCGCGCCACGTGACGATCTGCCAGGCTTTATCAGTATACAGGAGGCTACGATTGACGCCACCAAGTGTCAAGGTGCACAACCACACCAGCCTCGCTTGTAACCTTGTCAGTGCTGAAACAATTGACGTCACAAATGTGCCAGAGCTTTTGAGACGTGTGGTACCCTCCGATGGTCACTCTTCAAGTGCCACGAGTGCTTGCTAAAATCAGTTGTTTAGAGAAAAAAATATGGCCATCTGTTCAAAATAGAAGTGTGTGATTGTCATTAGCAGATACTGTTGATCATATTTGACTTTATTCTGAACGTGGGGGATGCATTTCAATATTTAGATTTTCCTTTCAGCATCTCTTGAAAGGAAAGGTGAAACACTTCTTTAAAAAAATGAGATAGAGGTTGATATTAGAGTAGTTTTATCCTGTGAATCTGAATATCACGTTCGCTTTCTCCCTAAGGTGTAACAAAACACGAGAAAACAAAAAAACTCCGACCAGTCGTGACGTCATAAAAGGGTCTTTCGGCCGCCAAGCACGTGTCGCTCAAAGGCCGCCAGTGAAATTGCAAGCTTGCCAGGTATATTTCCTCACACTGGTACTATTCGTGACGTCTTTTTCTGCCCTTTTCAAAAATAGCAAAAGTGCTGACAGGCGCTGAAGATGCGCGAGAGCAGAGATTCCGAAAACGCCTTTTGTGACGTCACACTTCGTGAAGAAGGGCCTTCAGCGGTTCTTTTGAAAGTTAATTTCTGCAGCCTCCATGCTCCAAATTAGAAAAAAACAACTCCTATATTCGAGATCCTAGAGGCCAGATGAAGATTTAAGTGTGTTTCCTGTTTCCAAATAGCTGCAGGAGCTTGTGGCCTCATCCTCTATTTCAGTGATTCTCGAAAGGTCCGCGAAGCCCAGCCTCATTGGTCAAGCCCGGCAATAAAAGTTGTCTTTTATTTAGAAGAAACTCTCCAATTTTCGGGCGAGTTTTCTCGTGTGTATGTCAATGAGTGAAGTCTACTTCACATTTGCCCTCAATTATATCCATTTATTAAATCATTATCATAATTAACCTATACCTTCCCCTCACCACGAATGGGAACCACCATCATCTCTCCGGATCCACAAGGGGTCCGCAAAACATCAGTGGTTGCGAACCACTCCTCTATTTCATTTGCACGCTCTCGCAAGTGTCTTTGATAGCACCGAAGCACTGAAAACTATGCTAGCCTCAACAATGTACCACGAAAAGTTGATGCCAAATGTACACCTGTCACAAACCTAGACTATCAACTAATAGCACAGCAATATGAAGTTTACAGACCTAGTTAACGAGCACAATCAGTTGATCTCCACATATTTAAATTCTCCTATGTCTTCAGACTAGAGATATTTGCGGCATCCCCTTTTGTTCAAACTATGCGGAGCGCGAGTTTGTCTGCTTCTTTTGCGGGGGTTGTGGTGACGTCAGAACGCCGAGCTACGATTGGTTCTGAATGAAGGATAGTGGGTGGACCACGAGGGCAGCTTGCTTTGAGGTCTACCCACTATCCCCCGATCAAAGCCAATCATAGCTTGGCGCCTTTCTGACGTTGCCGCAACTCCCGCAATAGAAGCAGACGACTTAATCTCCGCATAGAGCCTGATTGTTACAGCAAGGCCAGATGGATGGAAAGTCATCATTCTCCCATCTTCTCAGTGAAAAGTTGGTCCGACTAGGGAGACCTCTCAGGATCTCTAAAAGAAGCCTTCTGAAAGGTAAGACCTTAGAAAGGCTGCTTGTTCCAACATTCCTTTGTACTTGCAGAGTGATCCTTGCCACTAAATGTGAGTGCTTCATTAAAATCAAAGCAGTCTTTCACTTTTTTCATTCAGAACTTCGCATTCCTTTTATTCAAATACTTTGTAGGGGTTTGTACTGACGCACTATTTGTTACAGAAGTCTTAAATAATGTGTGTGAGAGATGTGGCCAAGGTACAAAGAGGGGGTCCCTGCTGCTGCTGTTCCGGTGAGCAGGGGCATCCTATTGAGAGTGGTGACTAGCCGCTCGTACAAAACGCGGGCGTACTACTTCCACTGCTCCTAGTGCGAGACTTCACAACTTTCTGCTTGTTGCTCCACGACTTCGGCTGCACCTGCAATAATGACAAAAAGCATGCTTGTAAAATAAAAAAAATAAAAAAATTGTGGAGGGACTGTTCGCATAAAAAAGAGTTCATGCAGAAGCAGAACAATGCATTAAGATGACCAGAATGTCTCATGGGACCTGGCTGTCACTTTAATGCCCCGCAAACAAATGTATCAGCCTCGACAGAATTAACCCTCCCCAATTTGAACTCTTGCAACTTCCTCCTGACCGTCCGACATAACGAAATGTTCACACCGCAGAAGCTTGACATGAGGCACCCATGGTAAGACCCCAACTGTCCTTTTCTATCTTGATGCAAAGTGGAGAATCTTCATTAAGGGGGGCATAAACCTAAATTCAAAATAAAAAAAAAAATCATTTTTTAATTTTGAGGTTTTTGCTTTTAGAAACTAATTCTACACCCTGACACTAAATTTGATAATCATACTCCAAATAGCAGTGATGTGATTGCTGCGCCAATTGCGCCAAACTGCGCCAAGGGGCTAACCCTGCTACATTTCGCCAAAATATGAGTAATCTGTGCCAAGCCAAAGGACCAATTTAGGTTGCCTTTCGCAACCGAAACTAAACTGAGTACTGTAATTGAGCAGACGTGCCTTATGTGGCGCAAGCGGCCACCTGACACAAAGTACCGTGCATCAATTGTCCACCCGGTCTTTCATGGATTTCCCTGCGTTTCGCGTTTCGCGCTCTCTTTTGTGGGTCTTGTCTCTCGTCTCTTTTTTTTTAATATTTTCAGCGATAGACGTGGATGTGTGCAGACGCTCCAACGCTAGCATTCCGGGTACCAGCTATGCCGTCATGTTGTGAAACGAAACCACGTTTTTGCGCGGCAGAAGTTACTTTGTGAGCTGAAGCAACGGCCGCGGGAAAATTATACTGGGTCACTGCCTTTCAGTCACCGTGGTCGCGCGACGTCGAATGTTGCCGTCCCACATCACTGCAGATATGGTACTTCCTAAAATGAAACGAAGTACCGCCGCATGTTCACCAACATTCCTGTTCTTGTTTAAATCATACGTTACTACAAAAATACATCTTTAATTCAAAGTCTGCTCTGTCAAATTACTGATTATCTAGATTCCTCTCGGTGGGCCTTCTTTCAAAAAGTACCTCGGTACGTGAAAGATCTGCCGCGAAATAAAGTTGAAGAGAAGTGAGCTAAAGCAAAGAAGGCAATGTATGCATGCTGAACCCGCACAGCACGCTTGTTTGTCTCGAGTTCAGTCGTTGCACAAAGCGCTCCAAGAACGTTTCGAGGCTGGCTCGCAATGTCTTGCATCGATGCACTCAGGTTCTTTATTTCTTGTGTGTTTAGCTTGTACCTTGTTTGCCGGCCTGCTGGCAAGCACGCGCCACTGGACTGTTTAAAGGGATACTGAACCAAAGAATTTAGTGCCCGTAATAAGTGGCGCACGTTCTTTCCACGAGCCAGCAACCACCGGTGTGCGCGAGCACACGCAAGAAAAATGACGTCAAAGACCTCCATTCGCACTTAAAAGGACAGTGAAATGCATGGGCTTCGGGCCAAAGGAGAATAAAGACAAGCTTTTCATCTCTACAAGTGAAAGCTACGGGCTTGTTAGACCTATTAATCGCTTACCTTTTACACGAGTAGATGAAAAACTTGTCATTATTCTCCTTTGGCCCGAAGCCCATACATTTCAATGTCATCTTAAGCGCGAATGGAGGTCTTTGACGTCATTTTTGTTGCGTGTGCTCGCGCACACCAGCGGCTGCTGGCTCGTGGAAAGAACGTGCGCCACTTATTACGGACACTAAATCCTTGGTTCAGTATCCCTTTAAGTCGCATGCTCGAAAGTTTCATTTTGTGTACAATTTTGGGGATAATTTAGCGACCGAGCTGAGGGCATGGTTTCGGTTTCGATCGGACAGCCGTCGTCTGCGCTCGCGCGACGAAGCATGCCCAACAGCAAGCCTGCCGAAGTTGGCCTCACTTGCATGCGAACATGATTGCGTGACTGCGGCACCAGCTGGGACGCTTGCAATTCATTGTTTTACGTTTGCTTACTTTTGACGAAAATCTGGCACGTCGGGAAGCAGTAAAACGGTGGCAAGCGGTTTTTCGAAATTGCTTGGCAATGCCTACAGCACTATACACTTGTGGGATGTCTGAGCAGTAAAAACAGAAGCAGCGAGTTCTGTCACAACACGTCACATCAGAACACAACACAACACAAAGTGCCCTTCGTTTGTACAGCACTTAAAACCAGGGTGTCGAACCGGAACCGAACCGAAAACCGGAACCGAACCGGTATTTTTTCCGGAACTGAACCCGAACCGTTATATTGTTATCGCGATGAACCGGAACCGGAACTGAACCGGAAAAAAAATAACGGTTACCGGCTCATGTCAAAACGGTTCTGCCACGCGCTGTTGACAATGAATGTGCTATCAATGCCATTTGTTTTTTAAGTGCTGTCAACTGACACACCTCGCTTGCATATTTGTCTTCTCCACTCAGTCTTAGGAATATAAACGCTGCATCCATGAATCTTGACAAACGCTGCATCCATGAATCTTGACATAGGATCCAGTATTGCGCTGGTCGCGGCTTGCACGGAAAAAAAAAATTAAAAGACTGCAAAAAAAAAAAATCGCGTCACGGGATTTTATTTTTTTACAATCTCGTAAATCCTAAATGCTGCTGTGTGCTCATTTCATAAAACGTTTATAGAACGCGCGAGTTCTTGAAGCTTGCTTCCATCGGAATGAGAAAAGAAAAGGCTGTGGAGTTTGATAATAATGCATCCGGTTTCGTATAGGCACTTAGAGGCTAACATATTTATGAGACAGCGAACTCTTCTATTTTAATATTTATCCTTTTACGTCCTTCTGGCGTTGCGTTCGGTGAAGTGTTTTTCATATTCTATATCTTGTTTAATGAAAACTTCTTTAAGGGTCTAATTTGAGTTACCGAAGGCTAGTTCAAATAAAGAAAGCTGTATTTTCTCCCCACTGTTCCTTTAATTGCTTACACGCCGAGGTGGCGAGATAGTTAGCGAGTTCTACTTGTAAGTGGGTTTTGTAAGGAGGTCGCGGATTTTACAGCTACTGCGTCGGACCCAATTAGATGAAGTCCGAATGCGTAAACGTCGGTGAGGTAACCTTTGAGTGCACATAAAGAAGCCATTCCTGGTAGAAATCCCTGAGCCTTACACTACGATGTATCCCGTTTCGCATGTGCTGATTTCAGATGTTTTATTTGTAATTTATTTTGATGTTGCAATTTGTCATTTATAATTTCCGAACCGGTTCGCGAACCGGTTCAGCGCCCCGAACCAGTTCGCGGATCGAATTAATCGAACCGGAACTGAACCGGAACAAAATAATTTACCTGAACCTGAACCGTAACCGAACCCGTATTTTTTTCGGTTCGACACACTGCTTAAAACGAATATTTTTATTTTCCTAAAAATATTGGCTCCAAAAGCCGCTTTTGCTGCTCCAAAACACTGTTTTAGTTGCTTCAAAACGTGCGCCAAAATGGCTTAGGCCAATCACATCACTGAAATAGTTACGTTGATATGAAATAATTTCAACACTTTGGAGGCACTAACAAAGTAAAGGAGTTCAATGTTTGAGTGCATTTTTCTCAGTTCCACTTTTTGCTGCAAATTTCATACGAAGGAATCTTTTGTTTGAAGGTAAAAGTATTCTGATACCACAATCAAGATGTTTCTGAACTGAAATTTACTGGGGAATCGGGCTATCCACTTTATTTTGTTTTAAGTTGAAGTCCTCATTGAAAAAAAGCTATGTTTTCAAAACTTGACACAGGACAGATATTCATATCATATTTTGAGGTAATCACTATTCCTAAAATATTTACATTTGAGTAATAAAAACTAGATATCCCGAAGTTCCAAATCTCCCACATTATATGATAGCAGTCAAAATGGTGCTTAAAAGCTTTATTTGCATATCATAGATTTCTTAACGAAGAATGACACGTCATCCTATGCAGAAACGTAAAGTTGTCCTAGAAAGCTGAAAGTTTGCACAGTACACCTACATCTGACGTTAAATCTCCCCTGCAAATTTCATTCGGATCACTTGAGTAGTTCAGAAGTTAAATCTCTAGCCAATGTCTCCCCTTAAAGGGACACTGACAGGGTATTTATGCTCGCCGAGGTTTTTAGTTGTACGTGTCATATGAGAGCTCAACTACCCAGAACAGAATATGCGGCTCGAAATTCGGTTTCTTTCTGCCCGAAAACCGCCGATCAAGAACTGGCCGGTTCGAGTCTCGCTCACTCTCTTTTTCGAGGTCACGGGCCGTTTTCTAAGGTATCGATGCGACCACCAAATTTAATCAAAGTCGTGGGTCACTGAAGGCACACACTCAATATTAAAAATAGAAAAAAATATGAAACCCATTTTTTGTGGCTTCTAAAAAGCTGTAAATACGTTGATTGAAAAAAAAAGTTCCACAGACAACCGGAAGCATTCTGTGCGTTCGTCGTTTCGCGTATCGTGGGACTCGCGGGGATGGCGATGGCAGCGGACGACGGGCGTGGGACCTCTATTTCAGAACTGTCGTTCGCGGTACCGGCGAATTCTGTCTACCTTTAAAAGAGAAATTTGGGACTGATCAAAAGAATTGGTATTCATCCCGTACGACACGCCCGGCCACCAAGGCGATTTGCACGAAGACGTTGCCGAGCCGTCGCTCCCTTCTCGTGGCTGAAGACATCGCTCGCGCAAACGTCAAGCACGACGTGTCTACTTCGAGTTGAATATGCACGCGTACGATTTCCTTACTAGGTGCGAATGTCCCCAAAGCATGTTGCTTCCCGACTTCGACTCGGGAGTGCTTTTGCTAGAGAAAAATCGACAGCAAACTTTCCCACTGACAGTTTACCGGCTTAATTATTACAAAGGAAAGAGATCCACCAGAAAAGAAATCCCCCAGTAGCGCAGTGGGAAAGACGTCCGGTTCACACGCGGTAGGACCGGGTTCAATCCCCCGTGAAACATTTTTTTTTTTTTTTTTTTCAAACATTTTTTGATGTTTACGTATTTTTTTTTTCTTTTTTTACAATCATCACTGAAGAAACAAACAAAAAATAACAAACAAATGTTGCGGACGATACTTCGCTGAATTAAATGGTATGTCTTTTTGACACCTGCGAACTCAATGTAATCACTTTCCACAAAATGCAAGGAGCATATAAATCAGGTAGCGTCCGCTTTCCGAGGTGCCCATATATGTTCTACAGTAATTGCAGCCAGCCAATGGTCCCGATCCCGTTGATCTTTCGGAAACTCTGTCGCACAATGCCACTTTTTTTCGGATGCAGGACATGTGAGCCAGCTCTTCACGCAACATCTTGGGTGTATTCTTTTCGGAGCCGATCATGGAAATTCACCACGGACACTCGCTACTCATCTCCGACTCCTCAATGTACAAAACAACTCATCTTGGAGTACAGAACAACGAGCGTAACAAACATAACTGCAAAAGAATCGCCCGGCGAGCAGTTCCCGCACGCCGCATCGCACGCCGCATGTCGTGTCGTCTGCTACGGAGCGGAGAAAAAACAAACAAAAAAAAAAAACGCACGGTCGGGTGTAGCCATGTGACTTCCGCCACTCACTCTCTTCTCTCCACTTCTCCGACCTCCGTCGGGTTTCGGTTTCGGTTTCGAGCAGTTGCGTCGTTCGGCTTTATTAAAAAAATACGCTACTCTGTTGCAAAATATTAATTGGGTAGTCCTCCGACACCATAATGAAGCCCCTGGCAAAAAAATGAAAAATTTTTTTTGGGGGGTGTCAGTGTCCCTTTAAGAGGGGGACAAGGAAATAAACTTGAAGCAGTTAGAGGCAAATGAAGTCCCTGAAACTATGTTACAGTGGTGTGATCGGTTCTAGTCATTTTGGAGCAGCAAAAATAACTTTTGGGTCAGAAGCATAAACTTCATTTTCATTCATACCACTGCAAATACAGTTGAACCTCAATTTAACGAAATCACCGGGATTCGCTAATTATTTTGTTAAATCGGGAACTTCGTAAAATCGACGAAGAGAGACCTCGCGCATAGGCTGCGCGGGGAATCCGAATTTGTTCGTTAAATCAGGAAATTTGTAATATCAGGATTCGTAAAATCAAGGTTTAACTGTAGTATGTTAAAATTATTCTGTTGGCCTGTCAAACTTAAAACAATGTCTATTTTGCTTTCCCACCTCTGGGAAGCCTCTTGTTAGCATCAATTGTATAGCAGATTTGATTCCCTCGAACACAGAACAAGCTACTTGGTCATGCATAGAAGCACCAAATATGGCAACAATACGCTGACTGATGAAGTATGAACTGTAGTGGATATACTGTAAAATCCCAAGAGATAGCCCACCTAAACATCAAGAGCAAATCGGCTGAAAATATGAAGTGGGCTAACTTTCGGTGCACAATCAATAAAAGTTAGAAAATTGCTATTTTTAAAGTCGTGTCCCTTCCAAGCTTGTTATGGTGGCAAGGGGCAATGAAGCAAAGATGACTGTAATTCCCAGTAAGCGACGTTTGCTTATATCCCGCCATAGCAAACTAGCCGCATTTATTTCGAGGCCATCATTGATCCCAACACTACTATTACTAGAAGTGGGCTATCTTTCGTTGTTTAAATAAATATAGCAAATCAAGCCAAAAATAGGGGGCTGGGCATCTCTGGGGATTTTACGGTAGTTATTTTCCAAACAGAATCACGGGTAAAGCAAATAGTATATTCCACTGATATAATGTTTAAATAGAATAATTTACACCCAAATTGATGTTTTGTTTGAACTCCAAAGGTTTTAATAAAACTAAAAATCTTAAATCATATTAAAAAAAAAAGAAGCTTTTGTATTTAATTATGAACAAATCTTTAAGTTGTTCCCAAGCTTCCATCCGCTGCTTTTGGGATACCCAAGGAACCATCTTAGTTGAATACTTGGAGAAGGGGAAAACAATAACGTCTCAGAGGAGAACCTATAATATGGCCCAGATTGGCGCACGAAAAAGTGCTTTTTCACCAGGACAGTCTGTCAGCCCACAAATCGACCGTTGCAATGCCAGTCTACACGAATTAAGCTTCAAACTTATTCCTCATCCACCCTATTCTCCGGATTTAATTCCATGCAACCTTTTCCTCTTCCCAAATTTAAAAATGTGCCTCGGTGGGAAGAAATTTTAATCGAATGAGGATGTCATTGCCGTCGTCAATGCACATTTTATATCAAAAATAGGCTTTGAGAAAGCCTATTTTTCCGACGAAATGAAAAATATCTAAACTCATTGAACCAAGTGTGTAGCCCTGAATGGAGTCCATGTTAAAATAATATTATTAGAAAAAAAATTGTTTATTTCGCTTTTATTACAAGGGTTGTTTTATAAGTATAGTATACTTAACAAACAACCCTCGTAATAGCCACAGCTCTATTTGAAAATTGTGTGCCCCATCCCGCTCTGGAAGAGTGGTTTCCCCTTAGCACGCAGGTGCGCTGAAACATATCAAAATACGCAAAAAATGGCATAGATGTCCATTATGTGTCACTTTACTGCAGTACACCAGTGTGCACTGAAAAGCACACTCGACGAAACTAGCTAACCTGCCAAAACAGACCCCACACGTGCAAAATATTGTGAAACTTCCGGGTAGTGTCAGTGTATGGTAGAGATGACACCGAATAGTACATCATTTGGCACAATAATTGAAAGTTCAGAAGATTTGCACAGGTCTACTGTAACAAAAAGGCCACGCAGGGGGGCCTCAGCTAATATATTTTCAGTATTAGGTGATATTGAATTTTGGTGCAATGTTGCTGCAAATTCCTCACATCTTGCCAAAATGTAGCAGGGTAAGCAATTTGGCACAAATAGCGCAGTAATCGCATCGTTTATAAACTCTAGGACGGCAGAAAGGTGAGGTCACGAGACGTCAATTTTCCCGCTAAATAGAGAAATTGAATCTGTTCATAGGTGATGTGACATCAAGTCATGTGACGTCATTTTCCCTGCTAAATTTAGCGGGGAATTGAATTGCTGTTGAGGTCACGTGACATCCAATTTTCCTGCTAAATCTAGCAGAGAAACTGAATTTGTTCATAGGTGATGCGACACCAAGTCATGTGACAGCATTTGAATCATAAATCTTCATTTACCGGCTGGCTTTGCCTGAAACGTCGCACAACCTTACTAACCGTGGTCGCGGCATACTGGGAGAAGGAGCAGGTTCGCGGTGACCTTATTTCGGTGGAGATGGATTTTGGCCTTACATTTTTTACCTTATACTCCGCAGTTACATTCCAGGATATGGGGCATTTGCTGACCACGCAACCTATGAATGGGTTACTGCTTGTGCTATCTTTTTGCTTTCTTTTTGTCTCAATAAATTTTTTTTGTAATAAAACAAACTTTTATTTTGTTATCTCCATTGACGCGAAAATCGGAGAGGAAATGTGTAAACACAGTGAAGTGCCCTTCCCTTCTTCATTTTACTTTGTCACGGACGTCCTCCAATCGTAAGGTCTGTGGCTGTGTCATTCAGGTAGGATGAATGTTCGCGGATTGCGGAGTCTGCGTTGGGGTATTTGTAGAACTGGGCGATCACTCTGTGTTTTTTTAGAAATCGTTATTTCCCCAAAAAGGTGGGTTGCCGATGACTAAGGATATTACGGCATGTACAATCCCAAATGTTTTGACAAAATGAATAAACTCTTGACAAATGAGATTCACTTAGGGTTGCCACCTGCCCTATTTTCAACTTGCATGACCAGTTCTTTTAATTGCCCAAACATTTTTCTTCTTTTTTTTTGGGGGGGCGGAGGGGGGGAGTTATAAATATATATTTAGACCGTCAACACATAACCAACACAACAAGTGATTGCCTACTGATTTTTTTTACATAAAGTACATGAAAATTTGTTGAGGTCTCACAAACAGAAAGCATGTGAGCAGGCTTGCGACTGCATTGTCGGCAGCAGGTGGGCAAATGAAAGGGAAATGGGAGAAACCAGAAAGCTGGTGCCTGAGGAATGCGGGAAACGTGCGATTACTGCACAGGACTGCCCTGTCCTCCCGATAGCTGTCTGTGCCTCCGGAAAGGGTGGGGGCAAAATGGTTTTACGACTTTTAACAATTGTCGGCATCCCGAAAGAAAACTCTGGGCTTCAGAGAGCACCCAGGGGTGGTTGCCGAACCCTTGGATGAGTTGAGAGTGGAAAGGCGAGAGGTCACCTGTGGCGGGTGCGTCTCCCCCCTTGACCTTCTGGCTGAGTTGGTTCCTCTCGAGCTGCAAGGCACGGCACAACTTCTCCAGGGTGATGACCCGCTGCTGAGCCGCCACCAGGTCTTTGTCCCGCTTTTGTTTCTGCAAGGGAAGCTACAATCACCGACGAGGGTCGAACCGCAGAGAGTACGCACGGCCCCCAGCGTGCACTCATTGCATTATGCAGTGCTTTGAGTGCACGTGCACTCAAAGCACTGCCGAAGGTAGGGAGCATGCTCTGGGGGCGGGGCAACTAAAACTCCTCCCCGCCGTCCTCATTCCGTTGGCGGCTACCATAAAATCCCGTAAAAACATCCTCCCCCGAGAGATTGCCCGCCCTGTTTTTCTAGTCAAGTATCTACGATGTAAATACTCTAAAACATTGCCCACCCCCATTCCCGTTGGACATCATGCGACGTCCGGCGGGAAGCGCGGCATCAACCGCGCAATCTCCGGTACTGGTACGTGCGACGAGCGAGTTTGTGGTGGGTTTCCGTGGATTTATAGCACCGCAAGATGCAAATCTGCTGCGCCTGCGATGGGCAGTCACCGTTCCCGACACACGCAAGTTTGTAGTGGGTTGCCCATGGTTCTTATTTGCGATACGTGCGTGCGACATCGGTTGCCGTGCCACGCGAATTTGTTGCGGGTTCCCTCGTGTCTGATGCACCGTGAAACGCGAATCTGCTGCGTCCGCAATATCGCTTCCCCGTGTTACGTGGTTTTTAGCGGTTGTCCTGGTGTTTATTGCTAATGTTTTACATGATTTTACTGCCGCATCTCCAAAGATCGCTTACCATAAATTTTTCTCCTTTTAACTCTTCATTTTGGGTGGGCGTTCGTACGGGACTTTACGGTACATTACTTGCCATTGCTGTAAGCTCAAAATAGAGCTCTCGAAGTGCCACCAGGAACTCGTAAAGAGCCACTCCAACTTTGACACAAGCTGGTTCACACATTTGCATTCTCTCGTAGCCGAGCATGCTGCATCCTTTCGTAACAGCACACCGGTGCTGCTATCGAGTGGCCATGGAACACTTCCCACTCGTATGTAATTAAACTGAAGGTTTTCAGTATTTCCGAGATTAAATCTATGCAACATTCACTTGAAATAGTCGCTTATAACACCGTCAGAATCATTCCGTGTCACCAGTGAAAGAATGATGTGGAAAAAAAAAAAAAGATAAAAATATTCTTAGATGGATAATGGAAGGTTGCTTTCAATGTATAATTGAGTGGGTTGAGGACCAGGTTCCAACTGATTCGGCCAGCATGCGCCGCGTGAGTCGATGACGATCACGGTGCTTGTGAATGAAGACGATGACGAAGTATGAACGTCAATCTTCTTAACATTTTCCCCCTCTATATGAAGGATGGCACATTGGCATCATAGGGGTATCACAGAGCTGCGATTGGTGGGTAGTACTTTTTGAGTCTGGCAACGTAAACGGTGTCACGGTAACGATGGCGGTGGTCCACGGGAACCTCAAGAGCTTCTATGACGTAGTTCACTGGGGATGTTTGGGATATCACCCGATAAGGTCCGTCATATTTATACAGGAGCTTTTCAGAGAGGCCTACTTGGCGTTGTGGGATCCAGAGCCACACTAAGTCTCCGGGATTAAATCTGTTTGGCTGATGACGAGAATCATATCGGCGCTTTTGTTCAGCCTGGGAGTTGATGGTTCGCAGACGCGCGATTTGCCGGCACTCTTCTGCATAGGAAGCCATTTCTGAAAGTGTCTGATTTTCAGTTGCGTCTGAACGGTATGGTAAGATTGTGTCCAGGGTAACAGAGGCTTCCCTGCCGAACAAGAGGAAAAATGGTGAAAAGTTGGTGGTGGCTTGGATGCTAGTATTGTAGGCGAAAGTTATGAATGGCAGAACCTTGTCCCAATTGGTTTGGTTGGCGTCGGTATACATGGCGAGCATGTCGAGAAGGGTTCTATTAAGTCTTTCAGTTAAGCCGCTTGTCTGTGGATGATATGCAGTGGTTGTAGAATGAATGGTATTGCAAGCTGCGAGAAGTCCTTGAACTAGAGCGGAAAGAAATACCCGACCGCGATCGCTGAGCAGTGTGTGTGGTGCGCCATGGCGGAGCAGTATATTGGTTAGAAAGAAGGTTGCCATATCTTCTGCGGTCGCAGTTGGGAGGGCGGATGTCTCAGCATATCGAGTGAGATGGTCGATTGCAACTACAACCCAGCGATATCCAGAAGATGAAGTGTGCAAAGGTCCGATCAGGTCAATTCCAACTCGTTCGAAGGGTCGCGAGGGACAGGGTAAGGGCTGTAATAGTGTAGAAAGCGTCCCACGCTTGCGTGGGACGCTTTCGTCTTTGGCACTCAGCGCATGCTTGCACGTAGCGCTGCACGCTGCGATAGAGTCCGGGCCAGAAGTATCGCTGGGAGATTCGAGTGTAGGTTTTTGCGAAGCCGGCATGGTCACATGTTGCGTCTGAATGCATGGAATTCAGTACTTCGCCGTGGTGGAGGTTGCATTTAATGTATAACCGAGTGGGTTGAGGACCAGGTTCCAACTGATTCGGCCAGCATGCGCCGCGTGAGTCGATGACGATCACGGTGGTTGTGAATGAAGACGATGACGAAGTATGAACGTCAATCTTCTTAACAATATATACACAGGATGGAAGTGCCAATGTGTTGAGAGATTACGAGAGAACACAAATCTGTGAACCAGCCTTTAAGTATATCTGAGTAATGGGTCTGTGAAGCTAAACAAGACCATGTAATGTTGTACTGTCGGGACCGGTTATAATGAAGTCAAAGGGAATCGGAAATCACTTCGCTATTCCCGCTATTTCGTTATAACCGACTTCGGTTATAACGAAGTGCAAAAGGGAATGGGAAATCGTGATCACTTCGCTGTATCCGCTATTTCGTTATAACCGACTTCATTATAACCGGTCTCAACAGACTCCAAGTTGGTGTAACCAACAAGGTATGCCTGGCATTTAACTAAACACTGGCCAAAATTTTCATATAACAAGTATGCACAGCAGAGAAGTATGACAAATACCATACTAGTCATTGTCAATTACATAGAGTTGAGGATAATTAAACTTATAATTAGGTGTTCATAATAAAATTTTTATTTAGTGAACAGAAACAGTTTTAACCAGAAGCTTAATGGGCATCATTGAAAGGCACTACAGTATAGACCACTTACAACGTAACCGCTTATATTATAGTGCAGGACCGGGTATAACGCGTTTTTTTTAAATCACCGGTTCAACTCCCATAGAACTCCATGTAATTACATACCGCTTAAAGTGCAGGCGCGCGAAGGGAAATACCGGTTATAGTGCGGTTTCTGGAACAGCCCGACGACTGCGCCGACGACCGGAGCAGCGAGCACGCTACCCTGTGCGACACTAGATAACGGCACTGACGGCGCTAGCCGCAAGCGGCACTCGCGGGGCAAGGAGGTTGCTCGAAGAAGTGGGGAGAAGCGGAGAGAGGCTTCAGTTGGCCATAGCGACGGAGGGACGCACGCACGTGTCATACACGTGCGTGCGTCCCTCCGCTGCGTTGGAAAACAACCGCAACGACAGACCAATCGCAGGTCGAGGAGAAGTGTTCGCGCGCTTTGCATGCCGGCAATGCCGGTCGCGGGCCGGCTTCTTCTATCCGCAAACATGGCGTCGGTTGTGATCGTCGTTGTAGACGGCGTGGTGGAAGCTCATTGTTCCGCGTAAAAGCGCTATCCTTGACTGTGAATTTTCGTTGTGTTGCTATGATAACACAGCACGTAATAGAAGGGAAAATCCACCTACTCGTGCGGCGATGTCATGGCGGCGCTCTCAAGAAGGCAGAAACGCCAGTTCCGTCGTGTTTGTTTACTTTGACTACAGTGGTGATTTCTAAGCATTTGTGTCCTCGAACATCGCCCGGATTTCTTATTTGGCGCATTTCATGCATGTGCTCAAGTTGAAGGTATTACTGGCGCGTACCGTATGAAGGATGCGAATTTTCACGCGTTTTCATCACTGGAGAAAAGTGATTAGGGTTAGCAATCCTGAACGCTCGCAACCCGCGACGCCGTTAAAAGGCTGCGCCAGGCAAAAGCCGCTCATTTCTTTCAAAATGTGTGACACACTTGAGACAGAACTGTACTAGTCTGGTGAAATAAAGACTTTCCTCAAACTAAGCTTTATTTTTCATCTAACATAAAATAAATTCTTTTACAAAGGTAAGTTGTCTCATGGCATGTATTTTGGCCTGAAAAATTGATGTTTTGGTTATAGCGCGGTACCGCTTATAGTGCGGATTTTCGCGACTCCCACGACATACGTTATATGCGGTCTACACTGTAACACGGTACATTTTAGGCTGTATGCTTTATTCTTCTGGGTACTGAAAATGCATCCAACTTTGATGAGCCCGTGCATTTTTGCTATTTCTCATCGTCCGCATTTTTGCTCTGCCAGCCTTGTGTCTGTAACACAAGTGGTAACCCTTTTGCGCCTTGTACATACTCTGCACAACACAGTTAGTGCAAACACGACATCGGTGCTTCTTTCCCAGTTTACCTCAAAAGAATATTGTGGGCACCAAATTCTATTGCTTAGATTACTGCCCCAAATAGCATTTTCAACCGCTATAGTAATTTTCATGCCGGCCTTTTCATTCTAAGAAAAAAACCATGCACAAAATTATGATCGCTTGTACGTGCCAACTCTGTTGCACAATGTACCCATGTACTATTGTCTTGCACGAATGCCAATGAGGCAAAAGTGTGCTGGCAATCAATCTTGATGGCCAGGGTTTCCAAGTGTCCGTAAGGCCTGATCACACTAGCATAAATGGCGCCGGACGGCACCACCGTCCGGTGTCCCAACGCGAGGAGTCCACATTGGCCTAAGTTTTGCGGGCATCACGTGACAACACTGGCCCTCGCGATCGCGCGCGCGCGCCTCCTGTCAGATTTGTTGCTCTTGTTGTCTGCTGTTTCGGCTCCCATCTTTCGCATATATCAGCATCGATACCGCACTCGCTGCCTACATGGTAAGAGTCCATGATGACCTGGTGATCAGCGTGAATGTGATTATCCTAGCCTGTTCGCTGATATTGCGACGTCGCCGCGCCCTGAAGGGAAGGAGGCGCAGGTTTTGGGTCCGGCCCAGTTGGTTCTACCGAAACAACAAAGGACAGGTCTGTGCTTTGCTGCCCCGGCGACGTGCCAGAGATGAAGGCTACTTTCGAAAGTGTCACCAAATCAACACGGCATCCGTCACAACACAGATGACATGCAACAGGTGCCACGGAGAAACTCACTTGTAATTTCAAATTTCTCTCCTATAATTTCCCAGCGGTTGTTCTTAGCGTCCTTATCTAGGCAGTCTGGCTGCGTCTTGTAGTATAAAAAGGGAAACAGTCACACAGTTTCAAAGAATTGCTCCGTTGGGGAAGGCATCGGGGGGAAATAGGGATAGCAGACGACACGAAACAATGCTATGTCCTTCGGAACGTGAAAGAGGCGCGGAGGACCGGCTTGAGTGTTGCCATGGCATCGCAACATTACTATCTACGCCACCTCCCATTGGCTCCCATCTTCTGCGGCGTGCAAGAAGCGGTTGGCTCTGCGGCACTGTACGTTGCGCCGTTGAAGCCGAAAACTGGTTTCGGTCGGCAGCCGACCACTCCGACCGTCGCGCCGCAGGCCTCCGCGACGCCAATGTGGTTGTGCCTTTAGACTTCTGAACGCAAGGAAGTCCCAGTCGCTTCAAAGGGTTGTTGGGAAACTACAGCTGTCTACCAATCCACATGTTGCAGTGAAAAAGTTTTACACCTTTCAAAGTTATACATATTATGTAGTTTTGCTTGAATCAGTGCATCATTGTCTGGCCCGGTTATCCTTACAGGCAACTCTACAGGGTGTTTCACGAAACATGGACCGAATCGTTCTTGCGAACTATGCATTGAACAGAGAACAGATCATAGTGGTCTCTTGCAAAGGGACTATTTAGAAAAACTAGTCATGACACTAAAATTTCTTTTAATCATGTTACAAATACTGTTAATTCATTCCTAATCGTTCTTGGTGTTGTAACACATACATCGGTGTCATAACACATACATCGAACAATTTTAAAAATCCACAATGTTTGTTAATGTTATTTCGCTCTCTCGTGCAAAGCCGTCTCGAGTTCTCAGTTTCATGAAACAGTATCGGAGACACTAACTCTTCTAGTATTAAGCGAACCCAAAGAAAATTTATGTCTTTTATGATCGTTACCTACAATTCAAGGCACTTAATGAATATGAGAGAATATGTAAACTGACTGACTTCTCCTTGCGTAATCAACGAATGATGCATGATTTCATGTTGTTGATCGCACAGCACTACTGAACTGTGCATATCTATGTATTCCTCAAAGGTCTAGTCATAGTGATGTGATTGGCCTAAGCCGTTTTGGAGCACCTTTTGGAGCAGCCAAAACAGTGTTTTGAAACAGCAAATGTGGGCTTCGGAGCAACCAAAACAGTGTTTTGTAGTAGCAAAAGTGGCTTTTGGAGCAGATATCCTTAGAAAAAAAAAAAAAAATATATATATACGTTCTAAGTGCTGTACAAACGAAGGGATTTGTGTTGTGTTGTGTTCTGATGTGACGCGTTGCGACGGAACTCGCTGCTTGTGCTTTTACTGCTGAGACATCCCACAAGTGTATACAGTCTTGTAGGCGTTGCCAAGCAATTAAAAATAAAAACCAAAAAAAAACCTGTTACCGTTTTACTAGTTCCCGACGTGCCAGATATTCGTCAAAAGTAAGCAAACGTAAAATAATGGACTGCAAGCGTCCCGGCTGGTGCGCCTATCGTGCAATCATGCTCGCATGCACGTGAGGGCAGCTTCTGGAGGCTTGCAGTTGCGCGTGCTTCATCGCGTGAGCGGAGACAATGGCTGTTCAATCAAAATCGAAACCATGCCACTCCGTTCCGTCGCCAACGGATTCCCGAAACTGTATGCAAAATATAACTTTCGAGCGTACGCCCAAAGACAGTCCAGCAGCGCGTGCTTGCCAAGCCGGCAAACAAGATACAAGCTAAACACAGACACACACACACACACACACACACACACACACACACACACACACACACACACACACACACACATACACAAAAAAAAGAACCTGAGCGCATCGATGCAAAACATCGCGAGCCAGGGTCAAAAAGTTCATGGACCGCATTTGTGCAACGACTGAACTCGAGACACACAAGCGCGCTGTGCGGGTTCAGCGTGCAGACATTACCTTCTTTGCTTTAGCTCACTTCCCTTCACAAACCTTTCACGGCAGATTTTTCACGTACCGGGGTCCCTCTCAAAGGAAAGCCCGCCGAGAGAAATATAGGTAATCAATACTTTGTCCCAGCAGTCTGAGTTAAAGAGGGATTTTTGTAGTAATGTATGATTTAAACAAGAACAGGAATGTTGATGAACATGTGGCAGTACCTAGTTTAATTTTAGAAAGCGCATCTGCACCGACGTGGGGCTGCAGCACCCGAAGTCGCGCGACCACGGTGATTGGAAGGCAGAGACCAAATATACTTTTCCCACGGCCGTTGCTTTCAGGAGCGATTGCTTCAGCTCACAAAGTAACTCTCGTCTCGCAAAAATGTGGTTTCGTTTGACGGCATGGCTGGTACCCGGCACGCTAGCGTCGGAGCATCCGCACACACCCGCGTCTATCGTTGAAAATATTTTTAAAAAAGACGCAAGACGAGACCCACGAGACGACAAGAGCGCAAAACACGAGACGGCGGGAAAACCATGCAAGACCTGAGGAACAATTGATGCAGGGTACTTTGTGTCGGGCGGCCGCTTGCGCCACATAACAGATGCATGCTGAGTTACAGTAGTCAGTTTAGTTTCGGTTTTGAAAGGCGACCGAAATTGTTTTTTTGGCGCAGGCTTGGCGCAATTGCCCATATTTTGGCAAAATGTAGCAGGATGTAGCAGGGTTAGCCCATTGGCGCAGTTTGGCGCAATCGGCGCAGCAATCATATCACTGTAGTTGTTTACGCTATTGTTTTATCCTTCTGTTAACATGGCACATTTTTGGCAAGGTCTTCGGCATTTCGTGAAGCTTAAAAGTGAAGCCAGGTTAAAAGCATGGCCGCGAGGCTCAACACTGATTGGTCAACAGGTGGGAGAGAAACTAATCAAAGTGAGCGCGAGCGTGCATTTTCTAAGTACATAATTAAGGAAGGGGTTGGGTCTACCGAGGTGAAGCTTGAAAACACTATCACAGACATACCTCTGTACTGAGGTCGACGAGGGCAGCGTTGCTGCTTTCCCAACGCGTTTTCCACTGCACGGTCTCCTTCTCCAGTTTCTTGATCTTCTTAGACATCTGAAACAAAAATGGCGATGGAAGCACACCTGCATGCTTGTGAACACATCGATCTATTTGTAAAACCCACATCAGATACGAGCCATGCTCTTGCAAGTGGAAACCAATCCGGTGGTCCATCGGAAATGGAAAAACAGCTCAGAAGGGGCCCTAAAGCGGTCTCCGAATTCACCTTTTTATGGTGATAACTTGATCTAGATTACCTGAACATCCCAAGAAAATTTAACTATGATCATGCGTGGCCAATTTCTCTACTGAAACAAATCCAAACATAGCAATGTTCCATTTTTTTGCAATAAAAGGGGGCATGTCATGTTGTGCAGTGCTTTAAGTGGATATTTAGTCTATCGTTAGTCCCTTAGCTCTGGCATATTCCCTATTAAGAGCTCCCACACATGGAGTCATTACAGTCACAAAATTAACAATGCTTCAGAGCCCAACTTTTGCTGGCATGTCTAAGAGAAAATGCAGGAAGCACTTTCCGTCATCATGCTCGTTAACCCTTGAAGTACCTTGGACGAGCCGAGCTCGTCGGCTGCTTTCTGGTACAAAACACCATGGGCGAGCTCAGCTCGTCCCTGGTTCTTCCAGCAGCCCTCAATACCACGGACGAGCTAGGCTCGTCCGAGGTATTGTTTCAGTTGGTGCATTTTCTTTTTTCGCCGCCGCTGATTTTTGCGTAAAAATCTTTTGAAATTTTACCTGTTATACTAGAGGACTAAACGCCTTAATAAAAATATTTGACATTTTTAGGGTGCTTTAAAAAAACAAAGTGTCACTTAGGGGTTAAAGGGCAATTGACAAGCCCAACATCTATATTATTTTTTTATGATTGCAAACGACTGAATATGATTCATGGGGATCGCCCTAAAATATCATGCTTGAGAACTGCGTATTTGCAAAGAAAATAAATATTTTCAGAAAGCTCAATCAGAAACGCCTGCCCGGATCTACGACGTATTAGTTAGCAAAATGCTGTACACCTTGCCTTTTTGGATGACTTCAAACAGTGTCACTTAACTTTCTCTCTTTCCCTCTCATCGCTTGTGGGTACGCGGATGTGCCGCTCGGCCAAATGCGAGAGTGATTCACGAAACCTTTCATGTGCAGACGATGCATCACTTTTCAGTTCCTCTCCTTTTTAGCCGTGTTAGTCAGCCCAGAACACTTTTTAAAAAGATTAAGGAAGAAAACGGTTTAACAGACTTTGGCGAGCGACATGGCGGGCGACGTCGCAAATGTGCTGTGCGAGGTTCTACCCCAGTGCTACCCAATCTAAGAGTGCCGTGCTACGCAAGTTTCCAAAAGATGAAGAGCAAAGTAATGCGTGGTCGGCCGCGAACCCAGAAGAACAGCTGTGGGGGCCAGTACCATGCCTTTGTTGACGAGGGCTATGAGAAAAACCTTAATGTATCCGAATCGTTGGGAGTTGGATTCCGACCTGAACTGAAACATGCCGCCGATCCGTTCCGACGAACTTTCCATCATCACGTCACAGTGAGAGCTTGAAGGAAAACCTAGGAGACGGCCAATGTTTAGTCATTAAAACTTCCGGTCTCTGATTTTTATTTTTCGGAGTCAGCAGAGTAGTGCTTTTACAGATGCCATAAAAAACATATTTTAGAGCGCAGCTCTTAGGCGCCCGTTTCCGGCATGAGGGGCGTCGCTGTCCGCGTAACCGCGCGGTGCATTATCAACCGGAAATCTACCAAATCTACCGGAAATATTCACCCGCTAAATCTACCGGAAATCTAGCGGAAAAATTTCCCCGCTAAATCTAGCGCAAAAATTTCCCCGCTAAATCTAGCAGAAAATTTTCCCCGCTAAATCTAGCGGAAAAATTTCCACGCTAAATCTAGCAGAAAAATTTACCCACTAAATTTAGCGGAAAAATTTCTCCGCTAAATCTAGCGGAAAAATTTACCCACTAAATTTAGCGGAAAAATTTCCCCGCTAAATCTAGCAGAAAAATTTACCCACTAAATTTAGCGGAAAAATTTCCCTGCTAAATCTAGCGGAAAAATTTCCCCGCTAAATCTAGCGGAAAAATTTACCCGCTAAATCTAGCGGAAATATTCACCCGCTAAATCTAGCGGAAATATTCACCCGCTAAATCTACCGGAAATCTAGCGGAAAAATTTCCCCGCCAAATCTAGCGGAAAAATTTCCCCGCTAAATCTAGCAGAAAATTTTCCCCGCTAAATCTAGCGGAAAAATTTCCACGCTAAATCTAGCGGAAAAATTTCCCCGCTAAATCTAGCAGAAAAATTTCCCCACTAAATTTAGCGGAAAAATTTCTCCGCTAAATCTAGCGGAAAAATTTCCCCGCTAAATCTAGCGGAAAACGTTTACCCGCTAAATCTAGCAGGAAAATTTCTCTGGGGGCTCACATGACCGCCCCTGAGGTCACGTGACACCCCCAGGTCACGTGACCGCTTCCCCGGGATCACGTGGGGGGTCACGTGACCTCAAGAGGGGTCGGTGACCCCCACGTGGACCCCCCTACCCCGAGGTCACGTGACCCCACCAAGGTCAAGTGACCTCGAGATGTCACGGGACCCCCCCCCCCCCCCCCCCCCCCCCCCCCCGAGAACACGTGACCCACAGTACCCTTTTCTCCTCCTCCTCAAGAGCTGCGCTCTAATTCGGTGTTACAGAGAGTTGTAAACAGCTTTCATTTTTATGAATTACAATAATAATTACCACAGACATGCAACTTGCGACACCTCTCAAAGTTTTCAAAAATGCCTTCGCCAATTACGTCACAAAAAAAGAAAGTGAGGAGGAGCTGAAATTGGGAGAGGAAGACTCTTTTGCATGCCAAAAAATTTACCTTTTCGCAACAATTTCTCAATCAGCTACAAAAAAGGGGCATCATATTTTTTCTCTATTATTATATTGAGTGTGTGCTTTCAATGACCCACGACCTTGATGAGCTTTGTTGCTGTGTCTAAGCCATAGAAAACTGCATGTGACCGAGGAGCAGAGAGTGAGCGCGACTCAAACCAGCCAGGACTCGGTCGCCGATTTTCGAGTGGAAAGAAAATTAATTTCAAGCCTCAAATTGCGTCCTGGGCAGTTGGGCTCTCATATGTCTTGTATAAATAAAAACCTTGGCAAGCATAAATACCCTGTCGTGTCCCTTTAATACCAGCATGAGATTGGTGTCTCCGATTTAGCTATCTTCACGCTAAATCTAGCTGTTTTTAATGTCGCCTAGTGGGAAAAATTCTCGTTTCATGGGTGGTAGAATTGTCATCAGTTTTCAAGTTACATTGGCACTATTTCTAGTGGTCTAAAATGCCTGTTTCCAGTTATAAATCTTAAATAGTCCAAGTTTCATGGTAAGTTAGAGTCATAGGGTCGTCATCTTTTAGGCATCTTCGCTTTCTCTGAGCAAGATTGTTGTCAATCACAGTAATGTTTGTGATGCTATTGCAATATTATGATGGCATGATGGCTAACATTGGAACTGAATTGTGTGCAAATGCATGAATTTAATTTTAAGTCTGCCAGATGAAATGCAGCTAATAAAGTATGCACAAGAATTAAAAAAAAAAAAGGGGGGGGGGGGGGGGGGGGTTGCTGTATGATTATTGACTCCCTGAACTTTGAAACTGATTAGTGGAAGTTTGAAGTGACATTGGATGAGTTAAATACCTCTATTAAAAATATACACCTTTCTGCAAAGGATCAGAATTCAGCCACTCAAGCTTCGAACTGCCACCAAATTCTGCAAAAGCGACCTTGACAACAGAGGTGCATGTCAGTAGGCATGGCAACAGACCTGGTGACACCAAGACAATGCAGGAGACATTAATCTGTGCACAGAAGTGGTTCGAGTAAAAAAAGAACAGCTCCCTTCCAAGGGTTCTTTCAATTTTTATACTGCATCAAAACTAAGCATAGCAGTAAATTCTATTCAAAGCTCGTTTGTCTCTAAAATTGCTTTACAAGTTGGCAACCTTGACATCAGACAATGGGGGGAAAAGAATGTGAGCACCCCAAACGTAGCTTTCGGTCAACTCTGAGGGTAATTTTCGTCGCACATTTTTGAACCGGCTTTTACCGATCGTTTAAACCGCCAGGCGCTGCGGGTGTCTGACCCGCCCGAGAAAGCTGGGGGGGGGGTGGGGCGACCTGGCCTCGAGAGCCTTATGTTCCAGCCTCTAGGTGCCCTCGATTTTGCGGAAGTCACCGGCGGCGTTCGACATCGACCTTTCTGTGTAAACTGGGAGGGAGCAGGTGCTGCTCTCCTAGTGCTCCGAGAAAAGTGGGTAATAAAATATAGAGCAGGAGTGGCAAAACTGTGACTCGCGAGCCGCATGCGGCTCATCGAGGGTCCAAGTGCGGCTCACGGCTTTCGGGTGAGCGCGCCCCTCTTCCCTTTCCGTGTTCCAAAGACAAAAGACATTTAGAATTTAAAAAAAAGCTCACAGACTTGGCAGCCTAGTGCTACACTACATAGGTATATACAGCTGGACTGCTCTTTGACACACTGATCTGTCCAGTGACACAGTTTCCTTTATTGTTCTAGAAAGATTTCGAACCGTATACGCATAACGGGCGTCAGGGCAGTGGCTGGCTAGCAAACCAGCCGAAGCATTCATTTTTGCTGAGCGGTTAAAGTAACGTTTTGCTGCTTGGTGTTATTTGTTGTAGTCAACAATTATATTTGTCCCATTTGGAAAGCATTGTTCCCTCCATATAGTTTTTTTTTTTTTTTTAAGTAGCGTCCCCCCCCCCTTTTATTTTCCTGCGGCTCTTTGAACTTTTGTTGTTTTGCCTGCGACTCTAACCCCATGTCACTCTTGCCACCCCTGATATAGAGCAAAGAGACGCCATCCTCTCTCTAGTCAGCAAAGTGGAACCATAGTGCTGCGGGAACTGCGTCACCTTCGTCGACGTTCCACGGAAATCTTGATGCGGTGTAGAGACCATTCTGCTATACCCTGTTCCAGGCTAGAAAAAGCGGGACAAGCTCCTCCCAGAACGCTCTCCACTCTTCCTGCTTCAGCAATGAATGCTGGAGAGAAGGAGAGTGACTGGACTTGCCTCCTCTCCAGCGTTTGATTGCTGAAGTGGAAAGAGGGAAGGGATTCGTTGGAGGAGTTAGCCCCACTTTTCTTAACCTACAATGGGGCATAACTGCCCTCTGCAAGTTGCCGTGTTTGCCCACTGCGCTGCGAAACGCGTTCCGATCGTGTGCCGCGGCCCTCTCGTGCCGAATGTCGGATGCCGCACGTGCGTCAGCAGCCCGTTGACTCCGCATTTTTTAGCCAGAGTGATGTGCGTTGGAGGCGTCGGAGCGCTCGAGAAACGTGGGGCAAGGCAGGTCTCAAGTGTCTCGTCGTCGCCCAGCAGCCAACGAGATTGCGGCGTAGGCCGACAAGAACGCTGAGGAACCAATCACGGAGTAGGAACGTAATGAGTTACACGCTGCGCCTTAAGCTGTCGGTGACAACAGTAAGGCGCATTCGCTCTTCGTCACGCAAGTGGAAATGCCGCAACACCAGTGCCCAAAAACACTCCTGGTTCAGAACTAGACTGCAGTTTTGGTGGCTCTTTACGAGGTCTATTCTACGCGCTATCTTCAAGAAACTGTCGCTTGCAGCACTGTCGGATGTAATTCACACTTACGGCGCAAAAACATTGGGAAACCTGCGCGTGCCGGAAGTCTGCCGGAACCACCCGACGAGCGGCACCGCCGAGTTTGTCAACAAACAAGAAAAGGGAAGAGGGCGGAGGCCCACCTTGTCCATGTCTGCCTTGAAGGAGCGGAAGACCTGGTTGCTCTGGGAGAGGGCCCCCTGGAACTCCTCGTACTTGCTGGTGTAGAGGCACAGCTCCTGGCGCAAGTGGGCCTCCCGCGCGGCCTGCTCGCACGCCTGCCGCTGGGAGTCCGCTACTTGCTGCAGCACCGCCTGTTTCTCCCGCAGGAACTGCTGCCGCTCCTGCTGCAGCTGCGTCTGGGCCCGCTGCAGGTGCGTCGTGGCCACCTGAACCTGCAGCTCCTTCTGCTGCACCACCTTGTCCACGTTCTGCAGTGGGCGGGGACGGGAGAGGAGGTGTGACTTCACGTGGCTGCCTTGCCAACGATCGACCTATCAACTACCGTAATTACTCAACTAGTACAGCATGTAAACTAACGCTTGTAAGGCACTCTAGACAACCCACAAAAATCGGTTTCTCAACGTATTGAGCTGCAATTTACTAAAGAGGTGCAAGGAGTTGGTGGATGTTTACAGTTAAAAAATTAAGGAATGAACTTGCCTCATTCAAAAGAAAAACCTGTTCTGGGCAATCTATGCCACCACTTTGCATACAATGCCCACATAGAGGCAAGTGCTACCGACAGATGGCGTACGGCACATTCTTTTGCAAGATTGTCTGCTATGCACTCAAATCAGCCGGTGCTCCCTCGACGTAGCGTACGACATCCGTCAGTATGACTGCTCTGTATGCGTGCATCGTCTGCAAAGTGACAGCGTAGATTGCCCGAACAGGTTTTTGTTTTATTTTCTTTTGAACAAAGTAAGTTCATTTCTTGATTTTTTTTTTTTTTTTCTCTGCAACCTTCCACCACCTGCTTGCACCTCTGTAGTAAATCACAGCGAGATATCTTGAGCAACCAATTTTCGCAGGACATCTAAAGAGCCTTGAAAGCATTAGTTTACATGCTGTAGATGCACTATTTCATGAACAGAGCCTGTGGGTCCACTTTTCTGTAGAGCGGGCGGATAGTCGATTGCAGTGATCAACAGAAAAATCCCAGAGATTTACGAGACAGAGATGGCTAGGGATGTCGCAAACCTGGCAGGGTTCGAGTTCAACCAGGTTTGACTTTTCCAAACTTTGAACGCATAGTACGACAGAAGTTCAACCTATGTGCACATGCACCAAAAATTGAAACCGAGCCAACACAGTGGAGGAAAAGTACCGTATAACTCTATGGCTCAGGTAAGCTACAACAGTGGTTAAACTGGGAAAACAATTCCCTTAGAGGTAGGAACAATTGAAATATTGAGAGAAGCACAAAAAAGAGGACAGACTGGGCCTTCTTTACCTGCATTTGTTGATCCTTTTTAGCAAGCTGTCTTCCAAATAGCCAACCGTTTCACTCCAAGTGTTCTATCTTGCCTCCCACGGAAATTTAAGGGTTATAACAGACTACGAGGAGTGGCTATTAACCCTTTAAATGCCACGCCCGAGTGTACTCGGGCGCGCTTCCCTGCACACTCCCTGCCGCACCCGAGTACACTCGTTTCGGGTTTTCAATTTGCTCCCTGCCTCTCCCTGCTAAACTCGGGCTGACAATATTCTTCTGAAATGGAAGCGCCATTTATGGACAACCAATTGAATCAATGTTTTGAGTGGCGGTTTTGCCTCTTGACGTGTGGTGCAGATTTTTGTAAAGGCGACTAGCGTATGCGTTTCCGCGTCAACATTCTTTTCCAATGGCGAACGTCCACGTGCTTCGACTTCGCGCTTTTTGACGGATGCTGAAATACAGGAACTTCTAATGAACTCAGAATCTGATGACAGTGAAACCGAGTGACGAAAGCGACGACTTGACGCCACGTGAGAGGCTACTCAAAAAGAAACAAAACTTGACGACACTGGCTACAAGTGGACTAGAGGTGACTTTGCTCCCATTCTTCACAGTTTTGACTTGTCGTCTTCCGGAGTCCGTACCTCAAGCATCACGAAAACCTCAAGTGAACTAGAGTACTTTGAGCTCCTGTTTCCCCCACATGTTGTGAATGTAATTGTTGCACAGACAATTTGTTCGTGCAGTGAAAAAAAAACCTGGCACAGAGGGACCGCTGGGTCGAAAAAACCCCGGCACTTAAAGGGTTAAACAACGTGACAGGAGGCAAAAGTGGTTTTTGATTACAATCTTACAACTTAACCCATATCCTCCTGAACATACTCCCTGCTCCTATCCATACACTGCAAGGCCCTATCCATATTGTTTTCAACACTGAAAAATTCACACCCCGTGGCGTAGATAGGAGAGGCTAGTATGCTGAAGGAGATAGCAATTAACTTGCAAGATTATGATAGCAGGCCCCACTTCTGCCATCAGTCTTGTCATTAGCCCTCGTGGATGAAGGGAACCCGCCTTGTGGCTCAAACCAAGCAGTGAGCGGAGAGAGAGGGGTGGGCACCTGCCTTCTCCCAGAGGTCGTAGTGGTCGATAAGGGACTTGAGCTTCTGCACGAGGTCAGAGTTCTCGTTCTTGAGCTGGAGGCTGCGCGTCTGGTTCTCCTCCAGCACCGCAGTGATGTCCATCAGGGTTGCCTGGAACTTGCCGGCCACTTCCTTCCTTTTCTCCTCTTCCTCCCGGATCCTCAGCATGCACTCTTCCTGCGGACAGGCGAGAGGGGCACACTCACATATTTTTATGTGTCACTTGAGATCTGGCTCATTTCTAAACTCTAAACTTTGTAATAATTTAATATGTTTATGATAATCACCAAAGTTTTAATACAGTGGAGCAAGCTCCTCATGTTCATTGAAGTTTTGGTACACATATAATTATGGGATATATAATAACCTCTAGTACACTGGAGTGAATGATGTTCATTGCATTATGTATTTTCTTTATGTTGTCGTTGTTGTCGCCTTGTAATGGCTCCCTGACATCTTCAAGCTGTCTTCGCAGCACTTTTGCCAGGGAGACCACAGGATTGTAAATGCTGGAAAAAAAGCTTTTGACCTTCGAACCCTCAATCTTTGTCACAGAATATAATTAAAGCAGCTCAGGTTGGAGGAGTCCCCAAAAAAAAATTATGGTGAAAGTATACACCGAAGCGGCTTAACCTCTGAACATTACCGATCAATTCGCGAGCTTCTGATGCCTCCTTACAGGGCCGAATTCCACTAGACCAGGGTCATCGAATGGTGAATGCAAAAGCAGACGCCAAAAAGCTGTGAAGCTGAAGAAAAGAGGGCGGCCGAAAAAAGTGGATGGCCTCATTAAGTATCACAGATGGCTTTCTGAGTGCTTCACATCGAGTAAGGATCAATGTATTTTTGGGGTTTATTTTTCTTCAAATTCAGGGGCATTTCTTTGAGGTTCCTTTGTCCCCATAGATCCGGCCTTTCCTGCACGAGTTTTATGCGACAAACAATCGGCACTCGTCGGGGGTTTACGTTGAAGAAAACGGGACGCCAGCCGTAAGATACCTCGACCTCCGAGAAATGTCAGAGTGACCCGAAAACCTGGCAAGCATCCCGGTACCCAGAAGAGAAGGAAAGGAGGTAAGGGGGAGTGGTTCCTGAATAAAGAAGCAGGCTTGCGGATAGTTTAGCAGGGCTGTGTTCTGGGTCGATGCAGAATAAAGCCGTAGATAAAGGTTTATTCGCACGAAGCTCCAAATCGAGGCTATCCTGCTTCCCCCACTTTGAATAAAACCGACTCGAGGGTTACTTTTCTAGATTCCTCGTCGGTATATTGCAGGGATTGCCGGACGGATATAGTATTCTAACAGCCATAAAACAGAACCATATGAAGCAAAGGGCCGCAATAAAAAAAAGGGGTGCAGCACTTTTTTAACTTTTTTTCTTCTTCTCAGTTGGTGGCCACGGCTAACTGCACTCGTAAAGGAGCTGCTCACTATGTTTATTTATTGTAAGTTCCCATTCGTAAAACAAGAGCCTTGCCCGACCTGCGTATGATGGCACGAAACTGACAGGACACAAGCTGCCCTTTCTTCTACGTGTGCTTTATTTTGATCTTGTCCCGGGATTGGGGGCAGGGGGGGGGTTAGCTTACAGGGAGTTGCACCACACATGGGCCCCAGAAACGCTGCACGAGGCTCGCAAGTCGCAGCTTCACAAATAACGCCGGCAACAGAAGGGCAGCCATCCCGATGAGGCGTATTACCGTTGCTTCTATACACGCAATACATTCGGGAACGTTCCGAGACAAAACATACGACGACGGCCAAGAATGAACTGGAACTTTCCAGAAGAGCCAAAATTGGCGAAAGAATGAATCGGGTGGAACGGGATCCCTCCCATGGCAGCCGCATTGCCAACTCCGCCATGCACGCGCCATACAGGTGTCGATGCCATGAGAAGAGGGCAGCCCACCCACCTTGATGAGCTTGCCCTGCCTCTGGAGCTCCCGGCAGAGCCCCTCCAGCTTGCTCTTGGCCAGCAGGGCGCGGTTGCACTCGCCCTGCAGCTGCTCCTTCTCCCGCGACAGCTGGCGCACCTGGCGTTCTGCCCGCTGCAGGTTCCCCTGCGTGTGCCACCAGCTTTCCTGAAAGCCCAGGTAGTGCTGCAGAAGGGCCCCCAGCTTCTCCTCCGCCGTCTCGTGGGGCTCCAGGAACTTCAGCACATTCTCTGCACCGCCAGTGGCAAACAACCAATGGAGAATAAGACGACAAAAAACGAAGGGGCTCTCATCACCGTTTTTGTTGTCTGTCATTGTTAAAGGGCAACTCTGCTTCATTTTTGTTTTTGAAAAAACAATGCAGTCCTTTTCAATATCACCTAGGAAGGCCACAGGTCAAATATTACGACCTAGTTCTGTCTAAATGTTTCTTAGACGGTCCGGCAAAATTTGCAATGCGCTTAGCTGCTGACTAAGCTGACTCTTGCGGGCGAATTGAGGCGCAATCAACGGCGCAGTCGAGGCGTAGCCAACATTGCACTTTTTACAGCGGAGCTGTTGAGGGCTAGGTTCCCCAGGATCGTGTCCGTGTATGTCGACACAAACCTGCCTGGACAGCTAGCGCCATCTATAAACGACGGCGCCAAGCACACAACCAGTATGGTTTCCGCCGTCGCTCGTAGATGGCGGCAACCTTTCCAGCGATGATAGAAGAATGGATAGTAGGGCGCGTTGGTGGGAATCCATAGTAGAAAACTGCGAAAAACAGACGACGACGAAGAAGAAGCACACAGTGTATCGAGAACAGCTCCGCTGGTCTTCCTTCTTCACTAGAGTGCAAAGGCTGAACGTTTTTGTTTGTTTTTACTTCTCCGGAAAAGCGTAACAGGCGACATCAGCAACGTTTCCCGTCGGCGCTCAGGGGTGTCCACTTGATTGGTATAACGCGCCTGCACAGCGCCCTTCTAGTTCTAGGGAGCCATCCAGCCATCCCGCCGTTACAGCCGTCTCCAGCGTCCCAACTGCCGTCGTTGTTTCACCGTTGGCGATTATTAATGCGAAAGAATTAACAGTCCCATGGAGAGAGCAGACGTCATCAGTTTGAAGCGCGTCAAATGGCACCTTAAATCCTTCCTCCAAGTAAAGCCAGCTCCCAGCTATGAAACCATGTGAAAAGCCTAGACAATGGCACCTAGTTTCCCCGATCCCAAAGGAGCGGAGTAAAGCTGATGGATTTTCGGCTTCGGTCCCATTGGCTGGCCACGTCGACGAGGCTCCCATTGGCCGCTGCGCGTCAGTTTCAATGACCGCTCACCCCATGGCGCTGCGTGTCCGTCAGCGCCGTTAACGCGGAGCGTCCAAGATCAGCGCACCAAGGAGAGCATGCATGCTGACCGGTGATGAAAAGTATGCAGCAGACGAAATAAGGGAGTGGACGAGCAGCTTGCATGCTTTCGCATTCACAATTCATAAGGAGTGCTTAGGTGTACCTTTTGTCTCTCAAAGTTTCATTCATGCTACGTGCACAGACTGATGCCGCAGTTGTGCAGGCGTCGTCGGATATCACAGACACCAAAGAATGGTGAAGACCACAGTGCAGACGACCCTTGTGCCTAGCACACACCTGTCTCAACGATCGCCCGCCTCACTCCTGCCCGTCATTGTGTAGAGCAGTGGTCGGCAACCAGCGGCCCGCGGGCCGGATCCGGCCCACGAGGTAATATCATACGGCCCTCAGCCTCCCGGTAACCCCCCCTCCCCCCTACGCAGTCAGCTAAAGAAAAAAAAAAATAAATAAAGTTGACCAATTCGCTGCCCGTCTGCGAGCAGACTTTTTCACGAATGAAGTGCATAAAATCCAACTTCCGCTCACGAATGACTGACGAGAACCTCCACAATGTTTTGCGACTCGCAGTTAGCAGCTTGAATGTGTATGTTCGTAGTTTGGCGAGCGCAGTTCAACACCAAAAGTCTGACTGAGAGGAGTCTCTAGGTTTTCGTGGAAATGTCGTATCTCATGTTGTTTGTCGTGAAATAAAGAAACTGTTCATTTTCTATTTATTTATGTCAATGTAAGTTAGTGCAAGTGCTTTTTTTTATTTTAACTCCACTCCCCTCCCTCCCTCCCTCCCGCTGCTTGCCGTCCAGCCCGTTCCGCCTTGGCTTCGCGGCGACTCGGCCCGCTTCGCCAAAAGGTTGCCGACTACTGGTGTAAAGGATCACGTTATGTCTCGTACCACGTGGTAGCCATGTTTTTGGCGGCCCAAGGCCAATGCTGCCCGACGGAACCGAAGTTTCGGTTTCGATTTCTGCTTATTTTAGAGCGCAGCTCTTAGGGGCCCGTTCCCGGCTTGAGCGGCGTCGGCGTAACCAAGGTCATCCCAAGGTCACGTGACCCCTCCCAAGGTCATCTCAAGTTCACGTGACCCCCTGAAGGTCACGTGACCTTGGGGGTCACGTGGGGTCATCTTGGGATCACGTGACCCCCAAGGTCACGTGACCCCTCCCAAGGTCATCTCAAGGTCACGTGACCCCACGTGACCCTTTGAAGGTTACGTGACCCCCAAGTCACGTGACCCCTCTGAGGTCACGTGGTCTCCTCCCCAAGGTCACGTGACCCCTCCCAAGGTCATCTCAAGGTCACATGACCCCTCCAAATCACGTGACCCCCCTGAGGTCACGTGACCTTGAGGTGACCCCCATGTGACACCCAAGGTCACGTGAACCCCAGGTCACGCCTCCCCGAGGTCACAAAACCCCCCCTCCCCGAAGTCACGTGACGCCCCCCCCCCCCCCCCCCCCCCCCCCCCCCCGAGGTCACGTGACCCCCCCCCCCCCCTGGAGCATATTAAAGAATGAGGGGAGGAGGAGGAGGAGGAGGGGTCTACCCTCTCCTCAGTACCCTTCACTCCTCCTCCTCAAGAGCTGCGCTCCAATTCGGCGTTACAGGGATTTGTAAACGGCTTTCACTTTTTAAAGTAAGATTTAACAAAATATATCCCATTTTTTGCGAAGCAAATGACGTAGTGCCTTTCATTAGTATTTTTTACTGTGAAATCACTACTATTCTGAAATTTTCGGAATTGAATGGAGCTGCTTAAGCGCAGTGGGCCTCTGTCACTTTTTTCTGCAATAAGGACCCGCGGAATGGGCACCCTCATCCGATTCCATTCCAGGAGTTAGAGTTTTCTTTAATTCAATTCCTTTCAACTCCTAGGAATGAGGACACTGGGCCCATTCCCACTCCTGGAATGGCTGAATCGTTCCATTCCATTCCTCTTTTTCCTAAACGTAAAAATTGGCACTTGACAGCAACATTGCCTTTGTCGGCATAAGCAGCATAAAGCTGATATTATCAAACGTATAGACAATTGCAAAAAAAAAAAGCTAAATGCCTAAAAAAAAACACTTATTTTATTAAGCCCACAGTGCTGGATTGCCTGGGGTGACTCATAGCGTCCGAAGCGGCCCATTGCAAGGTGAAACAAGGTATGCAGAGACAAGTCAAAGGAAATGAGCGGGCATCATCTAGCTTGCTTGGAACCCTAACCCACTAGAATGTAAAATGTTTAACACAAAAAACAAGCTTCGGAACAAAAACCAAGTAAAAGGCGGACTTACACGCAAAAATGCAGCATAGAAAAAAAAAAAAAAAAAAAACGTCGGAGCAAAGCGTTAGAGGAGAAGGGAGAAGTGGATCTCGCTTTATTTTAATGCCGAAGCAAACCCACATTTCGCACTTCAAAGGAGTGCGCGCGAATGAACGTGGAAGGCAGCAGGGTTGGCCAGCTGCTAAACAACACTCCTTGAACTATGAGAAAACAATAACTCATCATCTTTCGGCGGCGCGCGAACCAACGAGTTATCAGAGCTCTGCGAGTTATGAGTCGCCCCCGTCCCCAGATCTTAGTCTGTCCACGTGCATGCACCCTCCATGCCGTCACAAAAAAAAAAAAAAAAAAAAAAAGACAAGAAGGACGATGAGGAGCCGTGCATGGCGGTTTCACCCTTTGCCGCTCCCTTCGCTTCTTCTGCTTGGTTTCCTGTTTCACTCTCGTGTAACACAAGTAAAGCCCGCCGTCTGCGCGGCCCCAATGGCGCCACCGCCACCCCCCCCCCCCCCCACCTCTCTCTCCTCTGCTCTTTGCTTTGACGCTTGTTTTTAGTATTGGTATTGCATTTTTTTGCGTATAGTCTGTTAGGGCTCCACATGGGCCAGCAGTTTCCCGCTGCTCATTTTATTTCTGAGCAACTGACTCGCTGACTTGCTCGGTTTAGCAGCTTTAGCTAAACGTAACCCCCCCCCCCCCCAAAAAAAAAAAAGTAAAAAAAAATATAAAATAAAGAACCGGGCCCCGCATTCCATTCCAGGCAAAAGGCATCTAATTCCATTCCCATTCCGTTCCCCTTAACGTTGCCGCCATTCCATTCCCATTCTATACCGGGGTTGCGAAAATGCGGAATGATTCCGGAATCATTCCAAGTCCGAATGGCAACTCCGCAACACTGCAACAGACAAGGGTAACGAATCATCGCTGGCGACCAGACACCACGGGATGCTCAGCACATTACTCGCGGTCAATGGGCGTCAACGATGCTTTGAAATATTCGTCTCATTACTTGCCGCACAATAAAGCCTCGGCACTTTAGGAGATTTGCCACAATACTGAGGTCGAGGGACAGCGTCAGCACTTTGGGATCTTTGGCACGTTTTCTACACCACCACGGGCTATCGGCACGCGACCACGCACCACGAGACGTTGACCACATTATGCAAGGCCGAGGGGCAGCTTCGGGCTATTATTTGGAGTAAAAGAGAATGTCGACGCTTCGAAAAATTCGAGACGTCACTCGCGGTTAAGAGACAGTGTCGACACTTTGCACTCTTCTTCCTTGTACAACAGAGGCGATGCATCGGTCCACACACTTTGGGCATGTTCGGTACACTGTTTGCGGCCAGGAGGCAGAATCGATGGATGGTCGGCAGGTTCGGACATCCAAGTTTTGAGTATGACTGCATTATTACGACGGGACACTACTACACTTTACTACCATGGCAAAGCCAGTTGTAAGCAGTTAGTCATACTCAAAACTTGGACTTCTGAACCAGCCTTCAAATTAGGTAAAGAGACAATGTCAGCACTTTGTGCTCTTCCTTGTACAACAGAGGTGACGCATCAGTCCAAAAACTTTGCGTATGTTCAGTACGTTGTTTGCGGTGAGGAAACAAAATTCACAGGGCCTCTTACGTTATCCCTAAGACGATTTGAAGGCGAAAGCCCAAGCGCCGATGCGTTAAAGACACACATGATTTACTTTGTTTCAAATTCTTTTTTAAGATTCTCTATTTATTTCATATGTTATTTCCAGATTTCACACACACAATTCCTCTAAGTCCTCCTACTTCCCTTTAATTCACTTCAATTCCTCTCAATTCCCTTTGATTCCACTTAATTCACTTCGACTCCTCTTAATTCGCTTTATAGTCCTTAATTCCCACTGATTACTCTCACTTCTCTCTAATTCCTTTAAATTCACTTTGATTCCTCTTAATTTGTTTTGTCATCCTTCTTAATTTCATTACCTCTAATTCGCCTGAGTGGTCACGTAAACGTTTTGGTACCTTTCGTGTCGCCACCGTGTTTTCGCTCAAGGACTCTGAAGGTCAACTGAACGATGAGACAGCCTTAAGGTCAGCACTTTGGTATGATACATCCACATTATGACTATGACTGACCGCATTATTAATAGAGCTGGGATTTCTGGGAGATGTCCTCATTTTTAAAAGTGTCCCGCTAAAGGCCTGTCCAAACAGGACACTACAAAAATCGTCAGGTGACAAACTCCTGCAAAAATTGTAAAAATTGAAGCGGACGCTTAAATTTTGACGACCTTTGCAGGCGTCGTGACACCTGACAATTTTTGTGGGCAAGCCAACATCCATCATGGCTTTTCTCTTCGCCTTCTCCACTTTTCTTTGACGTCGGTGCTCGTTAGATTTGACATCGCACGCCACCTGCCACTGGTTTTCTCCTGCGGCTCGTTGATCTTGCTACTGCCGTCGCCTCAGCTGAAGACCAAAGAGGACCAGCTTCAGGTGGATTTGGAAGATTCCTGCATCGAAGCATGCATTTCGCTTCCCCCAGGGAAAGGGAATGAGACCTTTAAGTCATTCCCTTTCCCGTTTTCAGAACTTGAAAAATGGCAGAGGCCTTGAGCGATTGACTGACAGCCAACAAAGCGTGTGAGTGGCTCTCCGGACCCACGTGATGAGCAGATCAAGGCTGCCGTGGAGGGCATGGGCGAGATTTGACGAGGGGAACTTTCCCCCCGGCAAAAAAAAAACGGCCGGAAGCGGAGCACTGAACGGTCTGTCGAAGTTGTGTCGCCTGGCGATTTTTGTAGTGTCCTGTTTGGACAGGTCTTAACAGTGTCAGCTACAAGTACACACTATTAAGCTATTTCCATTTAGTTTTCATAAACCCTGTTGTCCCGATTTTACGTTGAGCGTGCCGAAAGATTCAATATTGTCCCGATTTTCCATTAATTGTGTCCAGTTACTTAACTGAAACCCCTGTATATACAATGTGTCTTTCACCCATTTTTGCATTGGCAAGAAGTCAGCGTGACATTCTTTTGCCAACGGCTCAAACGGCGTTCAAGCCACATGCGCTGCCTGGTGTGAGCCGGCTGCCTTCCATGCAAAGCACGTTGGCTGCATTGCTCACGCTCTGCATCACGTGGCAGAGCAGATTCGTGAGTTGCACCCTACGGTAAATTCACATCTGTATGAAATGAAAAAAAGTGCCCTAGAAATCTGTGAGGTAACATTCGCTCTTCTCCTCCACTACAAACCTACCCTTACCTTCAGAGTCTGTGGTAACCTGATGGGGCACATTTCTAAGAGCAGCAAAGTACTATGCAGACAACCACGGCAAGGTGGCAGACCCTGTGAAGATATTAAAGGCGACAACTGCCGCCGCAAGAAATTGTGACCAGCAACGCTCTGGCTAGTGGGCCGTACAGTATCGAGAAGTATGGCTTTGTACCGAACGCGATTGTAAGGCTGGAAACCGCAGGGCTCGACGTAGAGACGAAGTTTGGAATCTTGGATTCTCTGGCAGAGAAGTTGGACAGCTTGCGAAAAACAAGCTTCGCAAGTCGCTTGAGAAAGACCATGACATGGTGGGTACGTTCACCAAAAACTACAAACAACATTTATGATTTGAATGCCAGACGAGCCCTCAGGTTTTTGCCACTTTTCTTTGTAGAAGTGGAGCGATCATTCTCCGACCCTAAGACTTTCTTAACAGGAGAAAAGCACAGCCTAAGCAAACAAACACTTGAGATGTTCCTGACCATTTCCTTCAATGCATGAGAGCAGTAAAATGTGTCTTGGTAATAAAAAAATCAGAATAAATATTTCAAGATGGAGGCTTGGGCAAGATGGCTATTGCGAGAGGTTCCTTTTTAACAGCGTGCGTGTGGTCTGAGTGTGGGAGTTACTTTTTGCGCTGTTAACCTTAAATGTTTCGACGCTAATAAACACTCCCAGCGTATTCACAAAGCTTACATTGACTCTGAAGGTGTCCGACATTTTGTCATTTCCTGTCCAGATTTTGTCCCGATTTCAGCACTAATTTTGTCCAGGAAATTCCAGCTCTCGTTGATACAGTGGGACACTACAACGCTTTATTACCATGGCAAGGCCAGTTGTAAGCAGTTGTAGGTTATAATGCAGTTGGTCATACTCAATACATACATATCTGAACCAGCCTTTACATCAGGTAAAGAAACAATGTCAACACTTCAAGCTCCCCAGCAAGATCTATGCATAACAGAGGCAGTGCATCAGTCAGCAATCAAACACACTGGCTACCATATTTTGCAATGTATAAGGCACATTTTTCCCCCAAAATTTTCGTTGGTGTAGTTATGCAACGGTGCGACTTCTACGTTTATTACTAAAAACCTTAACTGCGCCAATTTGCCACAAGGGTCATATTTCTCGTTTGATAAATTGGCGAGAATATTGAGACAGACTACAGCTTCTGCATATATTGCAATACACATATGTGGGCTTAGCAATGAAGTTTCGCTGCACCGACCTTACGAATATAACTTATACAAAAGTGCAACCAATCTGTCAACTTTTTTGTGAAAACAGCCGTTTCCAGGGGCGTACAACCTATAGACCGGAAAATGCGGTATATGTATTGATACATTTTTTGCGGCCAAGAGGCAGCATCAACACTTCGGGATATTTGGCACACAAGACAGCGTGAACGATTTGGAATAGTAGGAACATTACTACAGCCAAGGGACAGTGTCAACACTTTGGGATCTCCACCAGATTCTCTGCTGCAGGATAGACAATGAAGACAACACATTGACAGCTCAGTTGGAATTGGCAATGAAGCTAGCCGTTCCCAAAAAAACCCATCCCAACAACCGATTTCGGATCTCGAAGAGAGGTTAAAGTCCATCCCAAGGAAAGACAGTGGGCATAAAAGGCAGTTGGGACTTCGACCGACCTGGCAGTATTTGCACTTTCTCGCACGGGTTGAAGCATTGCGACGTCAGTGTGCAAATAACCCTTAGACACTTCCGGTTTTTAATTAAACAGTGGGTTTCGCAGTATTCACGAGATCAAATCCACACAATCTCTTTGGGAAACGGTTGCTTATAGCATTGTCTAATGCAGGGGTTCTCAAACTTTTTGGTCTCACGGAACCCCGGGAAGCCTCAAAAACTGCCTCCATATTTGCCGACCGAGAAGCAACAGATGCACAATTGTAGGCAATTTTGCTTGTGTTGCTTCCCATATGTCCCCACCATATCAATCGCGATGTCAGCACGAAGTGAGATGAAAGTGCTTTGCATGGTCCTGCCGCGCAGCCTGCGGCGTGGGGAGGGGGGACGGGTTGCAATATGGGTGTTTGCGGAACCCATGAGACCAGCTCGTGGAGCTCCTGTGTTCCCCGGAACCCAGTTTGAGAACCCCTGGTCTAATGGTAAAAGATTGATGCGTAAAAAAATTAGTAAATATACGCTGACCAGAAGTGTGCCAGGGCAACTCAATAGATGGTGTCACCAAGTTTGTAGGCAACAAAAAAAACGCCGAATACATGTGCGAGTTTCGGGTAAGTAACAATTTGGCTAAATAATTTTCTCCCAGCAAGCTGCCTAGCTGCCGTACTCACCCACAGCCCGGTCTCCCTTGCGCTTTGATCCTGCGGCGCTGTTAGTTTCCTGCGTCGCTGCCTTGCGGTTTAGGGACCTCCGCATTCCGCAGCAGGGGCTCGCAGGTTGTTCCTGGCGGGAGGAGCGGAGACACAAGAACAGTCGCCGTCACCCGACGGACTGAACGAAGATTTAACCCCTTGTCCCGACTCTGCTGACCAGCGCGCAACATTGTAGAGCAAAGATGCAAATGGGTGCCATAAAGATGTATCAAACCCGAGTACCGGAAGCCAAGAAAAGTCGTAAACTTCAGGCATATACTTAACGAAACTGTAGTTAGTGTCTAGGTGACCTGGTGGAAGTTTACCATAGTAATATTAGGCCGAGAGAAAAGAAAAAAAGAGACAGAAAACATCTTGTGATGTTTTCTGTCCCTATTTCTTTTTTTCTACCACTGTAAACTTTCTCCTTCTTCTGCCCCAGTCTCGGCTCAATACCGCTATGGTTTGTGTGTAATTATGCCGTGCAACACGAATACGTTAAAAAAAATTTAGCACTGATTGACAAATACTGAATAGTGGGAATTCACAATGGAATATAAATAAAAGTTTGAATCAGAATGAGGTTATTTCTTCGGATCATAGATCCACTATTTGAGTTCAACAAATCATCTTTATCGTCAAGGTCAGCCAGGAGTTTGATGCCACATTGTTTACTTGAGTAAGGGTGCATTAAGAGCTGTGCGCGACACAGACAATACAAACAAGCAATCGGCGTTTTTTATGAACTTCCAGACCTAATATGTTGCTTATCAAAGCTGCTGGTACTGATGTATCTGCTCATTTGGAACACCAACTTAGGCAGTGAAATTTGGAATTTGTTGAATTCTGACTATAAGTAAAATATAAAAAAAGTGTCAACAACACGCTTGTTCGGTGTTGAGAGTATCGTACGTGACAAACATGGTCACGTGACTTATACTAACAATTACTTCAAGGGGCGGTGCAACGATTTTCAAATTTTCAGTAAATACTGCCTAGAAATCATTTTCGATGTTAGTAACCTACAAAACGCACGTTGGTTTTTCACTCCAAGCAACAACAGTTGCAGAAAATATTAAATAAAAAAAAACACTAGCTTTTGACCACGTTGACAAAAACCAGGGAGCATAAAATATGCTGTGAATGAGCTGGGCACACCCCTCGTGTGTGCATAATGTCACGTGATCTCACAATGCAACATGACATCACGATCTGACGCGACATCATGTCGCATGACATCCTGACATCAAGATCATATAAGCAAATGAGTAGGGATGGGCGAATATTCGGTTATTACGAATAGCCCATCGAATTTCGTTCTATTCGGCACTCACTTCGAATCGAATATAAGTATTAGACAATATTGAATAATTCAACAATATTCAATTACTCAACCTTTCTGAATACTTTGGCTAGGATTTCCGGCCAGGTGGCGCAAGTTTCCGACCATTTCCTGCTCCCGAACTCAATACACTTGAAATTAAACAATTACAGTACTTCTAATACCAAATAAGGGCAAATATAAAACTATTGTTTAAACATATCTTGTGGTATTTGCTGCTTGTACTATTCAAACTATTCTATTCGAAATTATTCGGCCAAAATCACTATTCGCTTCGAATTCAATACGGACCCCAAATCCTCTATTCGCCCATGCCTACAAATGAGCCCTATCGGTTTATATACCTTATATATGGCTTTAAACCATGTGCAATGCTGACACATGCAACCAGATTGTGTCAGTTTTTACATGGAATTTGGCCAATGAAACATATACTATGTTAAAAACAAGTGAAGTTCACCGCCTCAACTTACAGCCAGGACAAGTGGCCATGTGACCTGATGCAGATTATATGCTACCTATGTTCATCACAGCCGTGCACTGAGGTTAGCAAAGCACAGGGTATGTGCTGAGTTTCGGATGCTGTCAGGGTTCGGCCAATCCAGTCATTTCAGCGACTGGACACGAGCCACTACACGAACGCTGGTCGAGGCATTGCCACAAGCACAGACTGAATGTTACACGCAATGCTCATGTCCAATCTATGAGCCGCATCTGAATACCACCACCACGGAGTACTCCCTGTGAATGTGTAAACTCTGTAATCCCCGTGACTATGCCATCAAGTATTGCAAAAGAGAGACGAATGGAAAAAGATCCGCTTTTATCTATGAAATTGCACTGCGACAAAGCAGCTTTTTGGTCAATGGCCTTGTGTGCAAGAGACACGGTTGTGCCAGTAAGCTCGTGTGAAGTGAGAAACCTTTCAGTCTAATACCTTTGCCCAGCCCCTTTAATTTGTTTAGCAAGCAGCCGGCTCAGGAGTGAATGGAATGCGGAGAGTCTGTTACACGTCAATCCAGGTGATACTTTACAAAAAAGATCAGACCAGAAAAGTGGAAATCTGCTTACAGGAACATGTGCATTCTGCGCTGGCTGTTGCTTCTCTGGAGAGGGGGCTTTAGGAACACTCTTGGCTGCTGCCGCGACAGCAGGGGGCGGGGACCTCTCCGCAGAAAGCCTCTCCTGCAGGGGAGAAGGGCTCTTCCGCGTCCCTTCCACCGCCCTGGCAGTGCTGCTGCAGGCAGGCTTCGATGACGAGGCTGCTTCACTGGCACTCTTCTGAATGGCCTGAACACAAAGAGCACAGCTGTAGCGAGGAACAGGTTGGGGGAAGTTAGCAAATGGTGAGGACGCCTAAAAGTTAACAAGCCTGGCAAAAAAGAAAAGGTTGCAGAAGCGGTGAAAAAATGGAAACTTTGCACAGCCTGCATTGGGCAGAATCTCATGTACGCTACATTTTGCTCATGGCTGTATAATGCGCTTCTAAGCTCAGCGTAAAAGACTACACTAAAGTAAGCGAATCTATCGTGCTTCCCATCTAGCATTACACCAAATCGGCACACTCCAACAGGAAGTGCCTTGATTGCTTCAAAAGAGCGACAAGTGCAGGCAAAACACTGTAGCAGGTCCAACACCGACTTACAAGCTTAAGCACAGCGAGCTTTTTGATGGCATCTTCCTCGGCGGGATTGCCTTCGGTCACGCTGTTCACCGTGTCCAGCCTCGACTTGAGGGCCTCCATGATCTCCTGCTTCATGTGCTGCGCCGTGTTGCTGAACGAGCACATGAGCTTCTCCACAGATGGGTCCCTCACCACAGGGTGGGTCGCTGCAGCCTCTGCAGCTTCTACTTCCCCGTTGGGCAGACTGGAATCGCCCCTTGGCTCTGCATCCTCCGAGACATCTGGGTCATCGACCGCTGAAGAATCGTCTTCCGTTGGGTGCATTTCCGTCTGTTCGTCGGCAGACTCCCTTTCCTGTATTGATCAGACAGAGTTAAATTTAGAACTGGCCCAATTAATTTATACCACATCTCCCAAATGTCTACAGTGCAGACAAAGGCTCGCGCATGTGAGCATAGCTTGGCAGAATGCCTTTGTTTGTATAAGAACATGTGCATAGAAAGAGCCTTTGACATCACTGGAGATGTTTGTAAGACGGACTATAATCAAATGTTGTGGGTAGCACTCTACTGCGCAGCTCACTGCCTGCCTCTTTTATGACAGAGTGGCTAACAGTCATAGTTAATCTGGCATCTTTGATGGCATAGATGCAAGAACCTGAGCCGTAAAGAGAATGACACGCTGGTAGGCGAGTAAAGATGATCTCCAAAAGGAAAACATCAACCTTCTGCTACCTATTCCATACATTCTTTTGATTTTCTCTAAACATTATGTAAAGAGAGAAAAAAAAAAAAAAAATACTGTGGGGTGTTTAACAGTCAACTGTAGTAAAGCTCCAATAAATTAACTTGGCTTTACCTGCCTACGCGCTAAAATTAATGATTTCATAATAAAGTCGACTAACTGGTAAATTAAACTGCATACGAAGCATACTCCAAGGCATTCCACTGAAAGGATTAATTGTAAATCGTACGATGAATTGGACGATAGACACACCGCTACAATGGTGGCACTGTCTCTTGCTTAAGTTTGGCAAAATGTCCCATAGCGGTTTAATGCGTAGCAGGCTACTCGACTTACTTATATTTTTCTGGCGTCTGAAGACTCATCGGCTTTTAGAAATTAAAGAAAATGCGGAACACCGCAAATAAAATAAACACCTTTGTTTTTATTTTTGAAGGTTTTGGACTTTAAAAGTTAGTCTCACGGCGTTAGCAAGCTGTGAACCAGGCAACGTGGTAGTTTAAACCTTGTTGACCGAAAACGCACCGAGACTGACGGGCGCTTACCAAATTAGGAACACATTCCTCGGTAGCATCTTCCGCCGGGCACACAGCCGAGACGGACACCTCGGACGTCTGTATTTGGACTGCCATGACCCTTTCTTGGCGTTGATTCAAATATGCGACGTCTTGAAACCACCAAACGCAATCGAACGACGTACAGAACGAGCCGAGGGAGAAAGTGGTCAAACGAAGCCCAGCTTCATACGCTGCTTATCTTTCGACAAGCGCTGAACCCTTTAAAGCGCAATGAACACAGAAAGCGAGCCCTTGATGTTTGCTGCTGAGACTGGTCCGAAAGCGTGGAAAAGCGGTTAACCGACAAAGGAGATTTTTCTCGCCTAAACGCAACAAAATCACGACTCGGAAAGTACAAAAATAGACCCGACGAACAACACCGCCATGCCTTTCAAGCACATGAAACTGTGCACAGGGTTGTGGGAACGAAAAGTGACGGTTAAGAAAGAACGCTGAATTTAAGGAACGGTATATTATAAAAACAATAAAGCTTTATTAAACTGCAGTAAGTTTTATCGTAATCATAAATGCATTCCGACATAAAACTAGTGAACTAATTAAAAAACGCCTAGAAAAAAAGGTTATGTTTTGTGACCTTGTGTTAAATTATTAAAAGTTATAAATGCGCATTAAAACTGTCAATACATTATATTTAATAATTATTGCACTTACAATATTAGAAAGTGTCAAATTCAATCTCAGAAGAAAAAAAAAATTTGGCAGAACTTCATAAAGCAATCAGCAACGCTGTGCACCAACGCCAGCGGCCATTGTTTACGCCATGGAGTCCGTCGTAGAAGAGAAAAACGAAAATGAGAAGCCGATCGACAGAGAAAAGGTAAATGTCTCGATTTTAGACCACGGTTGTGCTCAGACCTGATACCTTCCAACCCTTCTAGCGACAAGTGGGGGTGCGCTCTACCTCAACGACGTAGTTACCCATCCAATGACGCGACAGTAGTCGGAACATTTGTGTCGTGCTCTTCTCAAGCTTGGCGCACCTTCTTTTCAGACGTGTCCTTTGCTCCTGCGGGTGTTCCTGAACAGCTCGAGACACCACTCGTTAAGCGAGTACTCGAGAGGCAGCGTTCCCACCAATGAACTGCAGATTTACACTTGGTTAGTACCCGCCGCCCGTTCTTGCGACTGGCTGCGTTCGGGCCACAGTGCACGCGGCGTGTCGCTGCATGGGCACGACCAAAGCTGTGTCGTCAGTCTGTCAATTCCGTTTCCTATAGTCCGTTGCAACTCAAAAACAGCAGGAGACGGAGCAATACCTCCTAAATAATAAAGCCGTAGTGCTGATAGAGATGTCATCAGCGATGGCCAACACTGGGTACAGATTGAACAAGCGCAAGCCACCGCCCGATATAAAGGGAACAGCCCATATCCATCCATCCATCCATCCACGGGGGGAAGAGGCAGGGGGGGGGGGGGGGGGGGGGGGGGAGTGATGTTTTTAGTTTTGGCTGTGTCTACAGTGCCGTCCGACGGCACTCCAATCGCGCCTACAAGTTCCGTCCGAGAGTCGGACGGCGGGTGTATCACTGGGGAGCTCGTTAAAACACACCCCGCCTGCGTTCACGCCGCTTCGCGGCGACAGTATGCGACTGCTAATTACAAAACTATTGACCCATTTGGCCCTGTCGCACACGCCGCTTAGCGGCGTCCAGCCGGCAAACCAAGCCCCACTGTACCCGATGCACCTCCGGAACTCCAGAAACGAAGTCCCATACCATTTCGTTCAGCGAAATTTCGGCGACAACATTCGTTTCTTTTTTTTTTTTTTTTTTTTTGTTAATCGTAAAAAAATATATGTAAATATCACCAAATGCGTCGGCAAAATGAAATGTTTGAGGAAACAAAAACAAAAAAGTAAGCCCGCATTGGGGATCGAACCCGGGATCGCGTGCTTATGAGACAGACATCAGCCGCCTCGGTGGCTCCGAGGTGAGAGCGCTGGCCTACGGATCCCCATGTGACGGGTTCGAATCCCGGCCGAGGGTCCCGCAATCTGACGGAGGCTTATTGCGGAGGAGGCGCCGTGTAACCAAGCTTTCGGTTGCACGTCAAAAGATCCCCAGGTGGTCCAAATTAATCCTCAGTCCTCCGCTGGGGCGTGCCAGATGCCCGTCGTTGGTTTGGCACGTAAAACCCCCAAATTTGACTTTTGAGACAGACATCATACCACTACGCTACATTCCGAAGCCGTGAGAGAAATTCCAATACGCAGAGTATAAAGAGCACTAGTCTTACGCATATGGCTCTCTGTTGTTATATCGCGCTATCTTAATCGGTGAAGTAAAGGTACATGGTATTCAGTTTCATAAACATTCATGCCATATTTTGTAAACATGTTAACTGTTTGGAGAAGTTTGAGGGCACGTAGGCAACACTGACATAAATTATTTTTGCCTTAGCCATAACAATCCAATTTAATCCAATCTTGAACACTTGATCCGACCCATCTTCATTTCTTGAAGGGGCTGTGCAACAATTTTCAGACTTGGGCCAATTAACTGAGGAAATTAATCTGCGTCACCTATGGAACAAAAAGCAGAAAACCATATTTTCTTGCGAGCGCTACTTCTTATTTAAAAAAAGAAAAATGAAACAAATCGAAGGTCAAAGTGCCTCTCCACTCCACGTCGACTTTCGAGTGACATACTCTGGGGGTTCACGTAGTTTCCCCTTGGGTCCTCTCTTCTGAGACCAGCCGCTTCCTCCGCGATCGTCGACTTTTAAAGGAGCTGTGCAACAATTTCAGGGCTTTGCTTAAATAATTGTGGAAGTTGATGCGTGACACTTCTGAAGTGAACTACAGGAAACAGATTTTGCCTGGATACCCTATTTTTTATTTTTAAAAAATGAAAAAGATCCAGGTTTTTGCCACTTCTCAACTTGTACATCGTCTTCCGGGTCACGTGCACAGGGACGTCGATGGGGTAGGCGCGGAGTTCCGGTAAAGTTCTCTCTCTTGAGCTATCAGTGAGCAGCGAGAACTCATCCGCTTGCGACCGTGTGACCACGTGGTAGCGGGCGCAGCGCGAACAATATGGTGAAAGGAGGAAAGTCTCATCCGGGTTCGGCCATATTCGTCCGGCCCTGTCCCCCTCCCCTATCAGCTTTTGGCGGCTCTTCGCGATAGCAGATAGAGCTGACGGTTTTGTGGACCTAGGATAGATGGCGCCACTAAAACTCCGTATAATAAAAGTTGTGTCGATGATACCAGGTTTTTGACGCATTTATATTTATGTTGGAATGACAAGATTCATAGAAAAGTTACCTTTCATCGAGCAAGTGTTCGCACAACTTGCTATCCTTCTACAAGGCCCCCATTGACGTCATGCCGTGTGTTTCTCATGGCCGCCGCTCGTGGCTGCAGGTCGGGGAATATTCTAATTTTTGCCTCGCTATTACGCAGCGGAATTGCAACATTTCGATCAAAGGAGGTGTGTTTTCTGTCATTTGTGACAAGGTGAACAATGTCAAAAGTAGAAGATGCCAATTCTTTCAACGTTAAAATCGTTGCACAGCTCTTTTAAAGGAATAGCCTTGTTGAAGGTCGCGGCGAGCTACCGACACAAAGGCCGGTTCGCCACGGGGCTGACGGCGAATGTAGCAGCGGAGGGGGACAGGTTTTGTTGACTTCCGCGTATCCCCCAGAGATGGTGTCATTTTAGTTCCCATAATCCCGACAGACAGCTGCAGATTGGCAAATAATTCATTTTTTTGCTTTGCAATTACGCTGCAGAATAGCAGTTTTTCAGGGAAAGGTGACACATTTTTGGTCACTTGTGCTTGCATAAACAATATAAAAAGTGCAAACTGCCAATGCTTTCAACATTAGAATCGTTGCACTGCCCCTTTAATGGCCACTGGTTCTAATCCCGAATTTTCTTCGCCACATCACTTCCAGACGGTATTTAATACATTCAGTAGTGTTCAAATGTAGGAAGTCCATGATCTGAGTGGTCCATAATAATGTGAATCAAAATCATGATTATCACAAATAATAAACTACAAGCGTGGCCACAAATGACAGTTTATTCTTCAAGACACTTCCCTCCTCCCTAGCGGCAAGGGCAGTGTCTTGCCTTCACTTTTATTCACAGTGGGTACACATGATCCATGAATTTTCTTCAGGCCTTTCATCCGTGGGTAGGGAGAGAAAAGGAAGCAACCCATTTGGCCAGAAAGCTAGAAAAAATGTAACCATTGCACAGTGCCCAGGTCGTATTTCTTTCTCAGAGAGGGAATCAACAACAGACCATAGATAAGTTTGGCATGTACTCTGTGACCCCAGGGCTTTATATTCTTTTTATTTTGCATTTGTGAACCATCTTTAGAAAGCTTGTGTCCACGATAGTGGGATAAAAATGCATCTGTGCATCGAGTTTGTCCCCAAACCACATGTTCGTTGTCCAGACTGTGGCAGAATTGTATCGGGACGGATTGGTCCCTGAAATTTGCATACAGCATGGTCACCTGACTACATTGAACACGACAAATTACACAACAGTATACTCACTTGTGCATTTAAAGGGTGATTCACACACTTGCAATGGGTCCGATCGAGTGCTATTGTTGCTATGGCAACAGCTGCATCGGCTCCAGCAAAACCGGTTTTTACCCCATTTTGGTAAAGCCGACACAGCTGTTGCCATAGGAACTCTCACACTCAGTCAAACTCAACACTAGTGTGTAAATCCCCTTTAAGGTTGTTTATTTGTTATTTTGTTGAAATGTTCACATTTCAGATGTGAACAGCAATAGAATCTTGTAAGAACTACTTTGCATACCATATGAACGTAACAAAAAATTTGCCTCTTTCTTAAGGGGTCAATGAGTAAATCCATAGGTGTGGATATCACCATTGTCTACGGAGAGCCTCAGTGCAAAGACAAACATTTCTCCGGGGCACTCTTTCCAGGATGGACGCCACGCTGAAGGAGCTGACGAGCCTGGTGAAAGAGGTAAACAAGGACGCTCGTCGCAAGGGCACCTTCTTCGACTTTGCGCTCGTGTTCCCGGACGTCCGGGGGCCGGGCTACCGCATGCGGGACATCGGCACCACCTGCTCCGGCCAGAAAGGCTCGGACGACAACAAGACCCTGAACGCGGCCCGCTTCCAGATCGGCGACTACCTGGACATAGCCATCTCCACGCCACCCATGCGGGGTGGGCCGGCACCCCCTTCCAGGCGCGGCAGGCAGTCGGGCTTCTGAGATTTTATCTTTCTTTCTTTTCGCGTGTTGTCCTTCGTAAGACGTCCCATCTTCACTAGTTGTTGAAGCAAGGAAGTGCTTTATCAAATAAAAGATTGGATGCTCGGAAAAAGGATGTGCCAGTTGTTTGGGGGGACATAGTTTGTCTGCAAGTCCTAAGCGGGTGACTGGGAAACCTTTCGTGCATCATAGCTAATGATAGAGCCCAAAAATGCGTAAAAGGCTGGGAGACATGGTGAGAAAAATAATTGTACCAACTGACGTAACACATTAGACAGATTCATTACAAGTTTTGCCTCCCATGTTGGAGGCACCATCAGTAATACAGAGCATCTTAGAGTGGCTTGGTGAGCATAATCCTATTTATGGGAAATGTCCATGCAGGCATCGCAGGTTGGGGGACAGAGTGTGTTAATGCCTCACAAATCAGCAGCCCATAGAGCTATCGAGTGTCTTAAACTCAATTATTGCCCCTACCTGTCTCAATGTCAGTCGCCATTGAAGTGCACGCATTTGTGTAATTATCACTACCACAAGATACTGCACCAGCTAAATGCCCCTTTGAGGTGCAAGTCACCACATTTAAGAAATAACTAATTGTGTGAATGGCTAAACAATCTTTTTTTCTTTCGGTTTGATATTGCCAATGAATTGGCCGACAGGACTCATTCAGACATTGCAGTCCTCGGTAAAACGCTGCAAATGGCATATACTGTATTGCAATGGATACCATAAAATCCTGAGCAAGCGCCCACTCAAAATTCGGAGATAATCGTGTAAAAGTGGGGATGGGCGCTCCTGGGTTAACAATATGTGGATATTTGTCCTTTTGTGTATTTTCCGAATGTTACAAAATTGGGGGTGGGCACTTGTAGAATGGGCAGATGCTCTGTATTTTACGGTGTGAGTTTAGCTTCAATTGTGGAATTTCATTCCCGCAGCATATTAAAAAAAGTGTCACTTTCGGAAATTTTCGAGATAGTAAACCCACGTTCATATCGTAGTTTGCAGTATGCAAAATGAAGGAGTAAAGTTTGTTATTAGGACCAAAGAGTCTAGACATTAAAAGTTTGAAATAAGAAAACACATAATAAGCGCTTAAAATATCCAACATTTTATTTTTTGCTTTGATAAAAGTTTTATAACGTCCCGGGTTATAACAGTTTTGTTCATTCCAAAATGACAAAACTATACAAACAAGTCTCCTTTACATGGTTGTTCTAATACACAAATTGTCACTACATCCTTCAAACTATAACGCCTCTAACACACTTTAGACACTTCGCAAAAATCGATTTCTCTATGATTTACTACAGAGGTGCGGCTCGGTGGTGGAAGTGGGAGTGAAAATATCAACGGTTGAGTTTACCTTGTTCAAAACAGAAAAAAGAAAAAACTTGTTTCAATCTATCTGCGGCTGCATTTGCAGACGACGTCGTGACCGGGCTCGCTTAGTTGTATCTGCTACCGAAAGGTGCGCAACGTGAGACACAAGTAAGGTAGAAACAAAAGTAATGCAGTGCCTCGACCGATCATCTCCGTACCAAAAATAAGGGGTCATGAGGGATCCAAATCTCTGTTTAAGCTGTTTTCTTATGTTTTCTTAAGCGTCGAGCGCGACAGATGTCGCGCTCGACGCTTACGACATCTGTCGGCGGCTGATTTAAGTAGGCGGGCCCGGTCGTGACGTCGTCTGCGAATGCCTCGCCAAAAAAATAACCTAAAACAGCTTTTTTTTTTTTTTTTCCCGGTTTTCTCGAAGCGATGGTATGGTGCCTGGAACGCGTCTCCGACTGGTGTGTTTACCGCGGCCAAAAAAGTGGTCCCTCGATTTCCGCCTGATGACGTCATAGAAGTGTCATGCTGTCGCCTGTTGCGACACTGGTGGCGCCCCAACAGTTGTGGTATGAGTGGCAGACGCCTGTTCTGCTGCAGGTCGCTTCCCACTGTGACAGTTCACGGAAGCTGGAGCAGCCGGAAGTTGGGACGCCTGAAGGGACGCCGCGACGAAAGCGACACTCGCGTTCGCTCGTGCTTTTCGCCAGCATTTCTACGGCCAACCGCCAGGATCGCGACAGGCAACAGCATGACACTCGCGTCATTTGTTGCCACATTGGGACCACTTTTGATGTATGGGCGGGATAGGACGCTAAACACACCAGTCGAAGACGCGATCCAGGCACCATAGCGATGGTAAACCCATTTCGGTAAACCGCGGTGCCTAGGAAGGGAAAAGTACCTAGGTACTGTTGAAACAGCTGGATATAAAACAACAATAATTATTTTTGATTGGGCAGTAAGATGCGCCATCTATCGGTGAAACAAGCCAGCCATTTTGTTTATCCTCTTTTTTCGCTAGTTGTTATCGATCTATACTTCGTTTCGCTTTCTCTGCGAGCGAAGCCAAAGCTAGAAGCGCGAGACCAGCGCCTTTTGCATTTTTACCCAGCTCGCGCGCTCGAGCAAAGCCTGAACGCACGGAGCTTTCGTGCTCGCGCTTCCAGCTTTGCCTTCGCTCGCACATAAGGTGAAACGAAGTATAGTATGGTATTTTAAGTCAAAATATAGAAATGTTGTACTTGAAGACCAATTTATTTGCTTCAGATGGTACGAAGAAATTTTAGCTACTATGATAGAGTTTGTCGACGAATATTCGGAAATGTAAGAAACATTTCATTCAATATGTTTCGCCATAGACAACGCATAACTTTCCCATGTGTCTTCCAGTCTGGCAACGCCGGTGCTGTAGTCTCGTTTTTGTTCCTTGAGACGCACGTTTATGCGATTCCTGCTGATCTCAATTGTTTGCCCTCTCTTCCGTTTGCCCAACCGATCCACTGGTGACGAGAAGCTAAGCTTCTCGTCGCCGTTTAATTGATGGCCACCGGGGATATGTAGAAACCTCGATGCTGTCGGCATACTGTCGGCGCACTGCGAACAAAAAGAACAATACAATGTCCCAGCTGTTCACCTGGAACGAAGACTTTATCGAGGACAACCCCCTTTTTCCGCAAAGTAATCGCTGCTCACGAGTTGGCGTGCATATATACAAATTAAACGTGTTATTATAAATATATACCAACACTCGTTCGCAAAACATTTTTTTTTACTCACCATAAAAACACTTGCAAGGCTTATGTACCGTATAGACCTTTTCGTTTTAGTAGTTGCGTCACTGGCGGATAGAGGGCGCTGACGCACCCGGCGCCATTAGGTTGCTTCAATTTGTTTGGTTTCAATTTCAACGTCAACGCGGCTATGTTGCTGTTCTACGTTGTTTTTGCTTAATTTTGTGATACGAATATTTTCCTTGTAGCACACAACCAATGAAACAGTTGTATTGAGCCACTTTGAGGACTACGAGGTGTATTTTAGCCTGAATTATGGGCTTTTTTTACCAACTCCTTTGATGTATCTGATTATGTTCGGTTGGGAAACGTCTGACTGAGGTACAGGGAAGATTACCATCGTCACCGGCCGTACCGATGACACCAGTTTCCAGAGGAAAAAAAATAATGAAAAGACTAGCACGTGAATTAAAGAAGCATATCGACAGTTTGATTAGCATTGTGCTGAATCGGCCAGAACATATGAACTCGCGAGTTTAGTACTCACTGTTTGGTTTTCGTGGGTACCCAACTTTTAGTGAACATCGCAGACTAACGAAGTGTCGCGTAATGACGCAGATAATTGATATAAACAAGTAGTATCGTCTCGGCCTCTTTTTCTTTTTAATTGAGTACTCGAGCACGTTTTGACAGGCCAAGTAGGAAATCTATTAAATTATCAACCCTCTTAAAGTACTCATAAACATCATTACGCGATATTGGCTCTAGGAAATAAATGATTTTTATATTATTCTTTGCTTACTCAAAATATAATTTAAGTGACAGGCCCGCCAAATTAAATATGGCATGCATTTGTGTTTCGTGAAATTGGCCAAATAAAGTTAAAAGTCGCAGGAGAAATACCTCGGCAAGTTTAGCTGAATTCTAGCGCTAGGCACCACTTCACGGACCTGTGTGAACAAATATTTATTTGGTTGAACAAATTCGCTTTGTAAATTTCGGCGTCGCCAGCCACCGAAAATAAATCTCTATTCGCCATCCTGTACTCAAGTGATTGTTATGTGGACGGCTCTGTTGTTTGTTGTCGTTGTTTTTTTTGGCGTCAAATATTGCGGACCTTAGATACTCGCAAAAAAAAAAAAAAAAAAAACACACACACACACACGAAAAAACATTGTTATTATTGCGCATGTGACGAACCCAAACCGCGTTTTGTATTTGCAAATAGAAACGAAGCTATTTCTTTGTGCGCGCTATTCTAAAACTCGCTACTGTTAAGGGTCTGTAGCAGTTTCTTACGCGGGAAGTCTCAACCTTCGTGTTAAAATTAATTAAGTGGATATCACTGGTTATCTGAATATAATCAATAAATCACTTAAATGACTGTCGAAGTGGGAGCGATCACAGTATACAATTTCTTAAACTTCATAAGTAACCGACCGACCGAATGTTTACGTCGCAAAAAAGATCGAAGACCTCATACATATGTAGGTCTGATATTATGAACAAACATATCGCCTGATATTGGCGAACCGTTACATCTAGCCTCAGATAAAACACAAGTTAAACGTTCGTTGTCTATCTCCTCCTCAAGTTTCCTGACGTAATCAAAAGAATCTGTTTTCGATATATTATGAATGCAAAGAACGCTACTTTCAGGAAATACAGATAGTCTGCTTGCACTGACTATTCTTGACGCCTTCCGATCCTAAATGCGCGATATAAATATACGCGCTTCTGACTGAGAATGTTCCGCCACTATTAGTAAACAAACCCCAGCTATCATAAGGACCTTTCTACCCTCGTGATGTCTTAGTCGTCCAGTAGACGTATCGGACTACAGTTTCCGAAGTAAGGCAAAAAAAAGCGCGGTGAAACGCGACGAAAAACACGAATACAACGCATCCGCCAAGGCGCAGAGGGGAGAACGGAGCAGCAAGTTGAAGCAACCTAATGGCTGCCGCGTCACGTGATTCCAAGATGGCAGCGCCCATGCGGAGGAGGATAAAAAAAGGTCTTGGATCCCGGACTGCTGAAGAGTGAA